TGCCTGCTCTGCTCCCAGCTCTGGCTCTGGTGAATTCTCTCACCCTCCCGCGCTTCTGACTGTACCCAGTGCATGTATAAACAAACAAATAAACAAGAAATAAATAAATTAATTAAATACATGCCTCTTTAAAAAAAAAAATCTTAAAAAAAAAAAAAACAACACGGTGAGATACCACCTCACTCCAGTGGGAATAGCCCACATCAAAAAAACCAGCAACAGATGTGTGGAGGGTGTGGAGAAAAAGGAGCCCTCTTCCACTCTGGGTGGGAATGTAGACTGGTCCACCACTATGGAGTTTCCTCAAAACATTAAAAATAGATAAACCATATGATTCAGCAGTTCTACTCTTAGGTATCTATCTGAAGAATACGAAATCAGGGCCTCCCTGGTGATGCAGGTGGTTGAGCACCACCAGCTGTGAAGCTGTCCGCAGCCTCTGCAGTGCGGGTTCGATGCCTGCCGGCGAGGGTCCCACATGGCACGGCAGATCTCTCCTGTCTCGTCTGCTGCTCCCCTCAGTGGTGTATTTTGGTCTGTCTGCCTGTTCTGCTCCCTGCTCTGTCTCTGGTAAATCCTCGCACCTTCCCACACATCTGGCTTGTACCCTGGCTCTTGTAGGGAAAAAAAAAAAAAGAATACAAAATCACTAATTTGAAGGGATATGTGGATGTGGATGTCTATGTTCACTGAAGCACTATTTACAATTGCCAAGTTATGAAAATAACCTAAATACCCTAAATGTCATTGACAAAGCAGTGAGTTAAGATGTGGCATAATACACGATGGAATACTGCTCAGCTATGTGAAAAATGGTAGACTCTTGCCATTTGCGACAATGTGCTGGAACTGGAAGGGAAAGTGAAGTAAGTCAGAATTAGAAACACAAATACCAAATGATTTCACTCATGTGTGGAATATAGAGAAACAAACAAAAAACACAAAGGAACATGAAACTTAACCAAAACTAGCCCTAGAAATATGACTGTAGAATTGAGGATACTAGAGGGGGAGGGAGGGCAGGCATGGTAGCAAAGCAGGGCGGGCATCCAAAAGCCTAGGGTAAAGGATTGTGGGTGCTTAGTTGGTGGTATGGTGTGGTAACATATCTCAGGAGGTGTGAAATTATCCCCCTAAATCATATAAAGTATTGTAAACCAATGGTACCTCATTAAATTTAAAAGAAAAGCTTAGAAACTGAAGGGCCATGTCTGGGCTGGAGAAAAAATTTGAGGAATAATCACATTTAACTCAAGGCAAAGGGTCTAGATTCAGACCAAGATTTACATCCACACACAGACACCAGTGATCTGTTTCCCTATTTGTAAATGGGATCATAGGTAACCTAGGATCTTTGTAATAAGGATTCAATGAAAAACTAGAAAATACTTGGTAAATTCAATAAGTGATAAAATTATCATGGAATATAATTAGATTATAACACAAACTTATGAACAGAATTCACGATAACATTTTTTTCCCCATGGAATTCACATAAGTGCTGTCTAAAACGCATTTGCATGGAAGGTATGATTTGGTGCCAAGGCAGTATGGTGCATGTATGGGGTTCCCTGTCCAGCGAGACCTAAGTGCGCCCTGAGGAACATCTTTATCAGGGATTTCCTGATAGGCAGCTACCTCCAGGGCAGCCACCCAGATGCAATCTACTCCCTACTTCCCTTAAAATAAGTATTTCAGGTAAAGCATTATCATTTCCCTTTTTCCTTAGTATGTTGCTTCCATGCTACTTAGATGTTCGAGATCAATAGTTTAATATTTGTCTTTCTAAATATTTTCTTCCATGACCCTTTCTAAGCTGTCAACTTCTATTTTGGCCCATGCTTTGATTTGTACATAATTATGGATTTAATTGTGTTGTAAAATGTCATATCATATTCAAATTCTAGCAACATCTGGACCCTTATAGATAGGTTCATAGGAACTGTAATCGTTTGTTCTTGATATTAGATTTTTATACTGTGTTTTTTTGGGGTCTATTTAGAAACAGAATGAAACGGACATGAAAGTCTTAAAGAAAACAACAGAATGACGGGAAAAAGTTCAATGAGAAAAGTTGAGGAATCAGTAAGATTTACAAAGGCCGCCAAACTCAGCCAATTAGTCAATTGACTAGTGTTTCCTTGTTTTGCTTTTCTTAATCATTAAACATTCCAAATTAAAATAAGCTTTAATTAGCTGGTATCATTCTTGAAATAATGACATATTGTGATAGACAATCATATTGTGTACAAAAAGCATCACAATTCCTCCCACTCCTGTATGATTATGCCTATGCAACGTGACTTTGTTGTTCCTCCCATGAAGAAGGGGAAACCTATTTCCCCAATTCCTGAATTTGTGCTGGTTTTAAAATTTACTTTGACTAACAGAATGTGGTAGAAGTGATGTATGTAACTTCAGAGCTTTGGGCCCTAAGAGCTTTTCCACTCTGTACCTGCTTGGCATGCTGCCCAGGCTCATCTTTTGGACGAAAAGCTAGAGTTCAGTCAATAGTTAACACCAACAGCCACTCATGAATGTGCCATGATTTTAGACAAGGCCAGTCCAAATCACTGATACACAAAATTGAGAGCATATAAAATGACTTGGAGGCACTGATTCTAAGGTGGTTTGTTATGCAGTGGCAATATATACTTGTGTGTCAATGCTTTGAATATGAGAGAATAATTTTAAGTTGTAAAAGGTTAATCATCAGGATGTGCTTTCTAACCTCATGGATCAAGAAGTTCCTTAGAACTGTAATATGTCACCTGGTCGCTGCAGTGAACAAAGGGAAGACATAATTTTTCTGGAATCTTTTGTGTGCAGCGTTTTTAAAGATAGGGCAATAATTCTAGTTGCTTAGGAGGTAATACTAGATGATTCTTTTACTGTGGGACCTTTGGCAAATCACTTAACCTCTGTGGGTTTCAGTTTTCTTGTCTATAAAGTAAGGTTTACTAGTTTCCATGGTTTCTTCTTAAACATCATGATTCAGGGTTCAGTATTTGTTTTGCCCACCTGCATATTCCAATCTTGTCTCTAATTTTTCTAATTTTTCAGAGTGTCTAGTACTTACAAGCAATTTTGAGAAGCCTTTAGTAACCATTACTTGGAAGTATAAATAATTGCTTTTACTCAGGAAACAAACTATTTTTTATTCATATCTGTTCGGTAGACATTTACAACTCATATACCTGAAGCAATACCTTTTTCAGGTTTATGTTAACTTAAAATTTCATATTCATGTTTAAAATTCATGATAAATGACTCTATAAAAGTAGGAAATGAAGAAAATATTTCCATTTTACAAAGATCTCCAATGTGAAATAAAAATCGCCCATAATTCCATGCTGTCACATTAAATTTTTCTTTGCTTAAGAATATTGCATACAATTAACTGTTACACAAAACATGATCTTGGTTGCATAATAAACACTACCACGTGAATGTGTCATAATTTATTTTTTTAAAAGATTTATTTATGCATACAAGAGCTGGGGTACAGGCTAGAGGTGGGGGGGTTTGAGAGGATTCACCAGAGTCAGAGCAGGGAACAGAACAGGCAGATTGACAGAAATACACTGCTGAGGGGAGCAGCAGGCGCGGCAGAAGAGGTTTGTGTCTTGTGGGTTGCTCCCTGGCCAGCTGGGGATCGAACTCGTGCTGCAGAGTTTCGGATTGCTTCATTTGGGTTGCTCCCTAACCCCTTGCGCCACCAGAAAGGCCCCTCATAATTTATTTTAAAGTGATTTATAAATGATAGCATTTCATTCCACTTTAGTTTGACGTGGGATGCTTCTTGACATCGGGACATAAAAGTGATCAAGTCTGGTTAGTGTATGTGTATAATGCATAGAACCTACAATTCCTTAAAAAAAAAAGAAATCATTTTTCCTTTTCTTATCACCTCCATAATCAAGCCGTTAGGAGTCCTCAAGAGCGAAGCAAAAATCTGCGTTGAACAGTTTTACAATAACACATTCATCAATTCTCGGACCTACCACTAATTTTTTCATTTTGAAATCTGATTTTCCTCACGCGTGTGCGCATCCAAAATACACTTTACAGAGTCTCTCTGCTAAAGTTTGCAGCAACCCGGCGGCTTGCGGGGCACAGCCCGAAGGTGCTCGGCGGCTCTGGGGGAGCGGGTCGGGGAGGCTGTGACGGGAACGGGCTTTTGTCCTCAAAACCTCCGGGTCGCGGGGGGCCGCCCGCTCGCCCCCCGCGCAGCAACTGCGCCGCAGGACCAGCGAAGGCGCCGAGCGGCTCTCGCGGGCCCCGAGCCGGCGCGCGGCTCCGCCGCACTTGACAGACCCCGCGCGGCACCCGCAGCGTCGCGGCAGGTCGGGCGGCGCGGCGGGGGCCGGCGGGGGGCCGGGCGGGAGGACGGGGCGCGCGGCCGCGAGACCCCGCTTCCCTTTCGCGTTCCCAGCCCTGAGCGCATCTGGGATCAGCACCCCGCTTCCGCCGCCTGACGGTTTTCCTCCTCGGGACCCGACTTAAACCAAACCCCAAAAGCACCCCAGGCTGGGAGAGGCGCACCTCGGGCACGGCCGGGCTAGCGAGCGCCAAGGCCGCCGTTTCCCGTTTCCCCCCGCGCGGCCCGGCTCCGCGGGACCCCGCCGGCCGCGCCGCGTCCACGGCCCCCGCCCGGGCGGCCCCGGCGCGCCTCAGTTTCGGTTCCACCGCGAGCAACAGTTTGGGCGCCGAGCACCCGCTCCCCGGGCGGACGCCGCCGCGCCAGGCCCCTCACAGCCCCGGGCGCGCGCAGCCCGGCGCGTCGGCGCTCCGCCCGCCGGCCCGGCCCCGCGGCCCCGCGCCCCCCGGCCCCCGGCCCCCCGGCTGCGACGCCCGCTCCCCGCCCGGCCGCCGCGCGTCGCCTCCCCACCGGCGGGGCCGCCCGGCCGGCGCATGCGCGCGGCGCTCCCGGGCGTGCCGGCCACACTCCCCCCACCCACCCCGCGAGCTTGTCACTTCCTGCCCTCGCCCCATCTCCGTCCGGGGTCAGTCAGTCGCTGCCTGTCGCCGCCGGAGAGTCGCCGCTTCCCCCTTCTACCCGCGCCGCCGCGGTAGCGCAGCCTCTTCGGGGAGGGCGACACCGAGCGCGAGGGACTGACTTAATAAAGTTTCCTGAAACAACTACTACCACCAAAAAAGGCCCAAGGTGGGGGGAGACCCCCCTCGCTCCCCGCCCCTCTCCACACGCCGGAGGGACCGTTGCAGGTGGAGCGGCGCCGGGGGCGACCCGGGCTCGGGCGGCAGCCGTTGCCCCGGCGAGGGGCGCCTGAGGGCCGGGCCGCTCCGGTTCCGGCGCTTTCGGGGGCGGCGGCGGCGGCTGCTGCGGGGCGGTTCCTCCTGTCAACCGCCCGCGCCCGCGCGCCGCCCGCTCGCCCAGCGCCCCAGCGCGGAGGGACGCCGTGAGCCGCCGCCGCCGTCGCCGCGGGCCGCGGTGAGCTGTGGCGCTTCCGCGTCCGCGCCGCCGGGGACTCTTTGGAGCGCGTCGGCCCCGCGCCCCGCGCCCCGCTCCCCTCGCGCGGCGCGCCGACGCAGCGCCAGGTGGGGCCCGGAGCGGCCTCCCACGCCCGGCTGCGCCCCGCGCCCGCCCGGCCGGCCGGCCTTCCGCCTGGCCACGGCCCGCCCTCGGAGTTAAGTAAGTTGGGCGCACGGGGTGGTGGGGACGGGGGTGCCGCCGGGGAGACCCTCGGCACGTGCGCGGCGGGAGGGCGCGGCGGGCACCGGCCTCCATCGGGGGTCGCCCCTCGGCCGCCCCGGCCGCCGTGCCCGGCGCCCCGCGGGCCTCGGCGCCGGCCGTGCCCGCCGCGCCCCGCGCCTCCGTCTGCGTCTCCGCGCGCGTCCGCCCGGGCCTCGCGTCCAGCCGGCCAGGCCGTCGCCCCGCGCGGCGCGCCCGGGCCCGCGTTTCCGGGTGGGGCGGTGAACCTGTGCGGGAGGGCGGCGGCGGGGCAGCCCGCGCGCCCCTCTGGTGTTTGGGCGGCGAGGAAGCCGCGGGGCCCGGCGGGGAAGGCGGAGGGCGGCCGAGGCGAACGGCGCTGCCCCGGCGGCCGGGGTGCCCGCAGGAAGTTCAGGGGAGTGACGGGTTTGTGCTTCTTTCGACAGCCCAGCCGCGATGAAGAGCTGCTCACAGTGAAAGGAAAGTAGGTCGCGCCCACTGAAAATGCCTTTAAGGGACAAATACTGTCAGACTGACCACCATCATCACGGATGCTGTGAACCAGGTATGGCCCTTTCTGTGCCGGTTACTTTCCCCGCCGTCGGAGCCCCTCTGTTCCCTTCCAGTTTTCTTTTCCTCCTGCCCAAGAAGTCATTCCTCAGGAAACAGGCTATCATTTCCCCCAGCGTAACGCCAGTCACGAAGCGAAAAGCTTGTACAAGCAAGAGGTCTCCCCTCTATGATCCCTTGAAGAAAAAAACTACTGCAGGTGTCACCTTAATCTTTTCCACAAGATCAGTGTCTCCGTCGCCTCCAAGGCAGACTGCAGTTCGTAGTACAGCCCCTTGGTCTGGGAATGTTTAAAATTGCAGAAAAGGGAGAAAATATTGTCTTTGTGAAAGTTGTTACAGTTAAACTTCAAAAATTAAAAAGTTTCTCATGCATTTTTATCTCTTAAGGCCAAACAGTTTAGCTCCGGCTGAAAAAAAAAGTTTGTTGAACTCAACTTGTTGGGAGGCTAAGGTTTTGCTAATTACAGCCTTTTAAAAGACAGCTCGTATTGCAAAATAAAGCTCCTGCTCGTTTAGATGAGCTTCATGAATATTTTTAGGATATTTTCTTCAGGGGAACTTTCTAGTAGAATTGGTGAATTGAAAAAGTTGCCTTTTGGAGCCTCATGAAGAATGCTAGAAAACTTAAATTTGACAGTAATATATTTGACAAACGAGTCATGTTTTTTCTACTCATTGGAGCTTTGATGTACTTTGTTACATACATTTGAAGGTACATCTTACCGTCATTGATTCCCTGGAATCATTGTGTTCCTACTGTCCCAAAACCAAGTGAAGGCTATACTATTCTAGTTCAGTAATGTCCAGGGCAGTGGGAATACACAGGGTGAGAAAACATAAGGTCATATCCTCATAGAACTCTTGAGTAGGAAAAGATAGATATAAACATGTAAAGAAAATAATTTATGACCATACCTTATTTCTTGTATTCTGGTAATTAAAGTTTTCTGGGGACTTTATTAAATTTTTCTAGGGTTAAACTTTTAAATATGTGTTGGAACTTTCTGCTGGTTTTTTTTCCCCCATTAATAAGAAACCAGATAAGTTGTATTAATTTAAAGATTTGAAAGTATGTAATCTTTCTTTTACTAAAACTTTTCCTATGCAGTTTGTTTTTCGGACTATCAGGGCAAAAGTTAGTGTTTCTTTGCTGTCTTAGCTAGAATTAATCACTTGCTGTGGAAAGCTAGATGTTTGTTAACTAACAGGACAGTTAATTGCTATTATTTTAGAGGAAGCTATGCGCTAAGTGGGAGGATGTTTCTAGTATGGAGAGAAATATATTATGTGGCAGTTTTTTAGAGAGAATGGGAAGAAGATGACTTGATGTTTGAGAAATTGTTTTAATGGGCTCACTTTTAAAGGTCTGTCTTGGGTTGGGTTATGAACAGTGGGCGAGTATGGGAGCAGTGTAGCCCAGAAACGGCCTTCATAGAATGGCTGAACTTGTAGTGAGGATGGTCATAGAAGTCTGTTAGTGTATGTATCTTATTGTATTTAAGAATGTATTTTATTTTAGAAATAGAAGATCTCAAACATTCATAAATGGAGAGAATGGCATAAAGAACCTGATGTTAATCATCTCCCTAAGTTACCATTTCATAGACAATCTCTTTTCATCTATTCTTTTCCTCCCCCGCAGTTCTCTTACCCCTCTCCCCCACTCCCACCATGGATTCCTCCATCCTCTACTATTTGTAAACAAATCCAGACATCACATACAGAGGAATCATCTACGGGACTTTTTAAAGGGTAGATGAAACTCTTTAAAAAGTGTGTATTCTAGGAAGTTTGTTCTTGGAAGTGTGTAAAGAAATAGCTTTTGAAAGTCTGGGTTTTTTGGTTGGTGGAGATGCTGGTTTTTCCCCAACTGGTTTAATGACGTGGATGGGTCTGACCCTGGAAGGGATGATAAGATATGGAATAGGAAATTCTGTAAAATACTAATATATAAAGTTTTCCAGGGCTGAGAGTATGGTTTCAAATGAAGAAGGAATACTATCTTACAATGTGATACAGATGTGTGTATCAGGGGAATGTGTTTGTGCATAATCAGGCTAGCCCTGGGATTCTTTGGTATGGTGTCTCGGGATATATATGGATTCGTGGTAGTTGTATTCAGAAGGTGGGGAGGGGGGATAACAAAATTTTGCTCCAGCTTTAAAAAGCACATAATTGTTATGTGGAAGTGGAGGTTAGTATATTATAGAATGTTTTCTGGAGCATGTATAAAATGAGGAAAGGGGAAGTTTCCATGTTTTCCCATATCCTGCCATTATTCATTACTATTTTTTCATTCTATCTAGAATTCTTGCCACCTATAGAGTCCAACCTTGAAGTTTTTAGTTCAATACATTTCTGCAATTTCCACCATCTCTTTGTAGCTATTTTTATATATAGCTGTACACCTAAACAGATGTATAAACACTGAAAAAAAGATCTACGTAATCCAAATAGTGTTCTCAATGTATTTATAAACTTTTGCTTTTATTTCTTCGAGGAATTGAATTCTGCTTCTTAGGTTTTGAAAAGAATTCTTTCAGTTTTTGGAGTCAGGAAAGCAATAAATTTGTACACAGTGATGATCATGATGATATGGTAGTGGTGATAGAACATTTACTGAGCAGTTATTATATCTCATACTGTTTTAAGCCGTTTACTAACATTTGCTCCTTTAATCCTCACACAGCTCTATGATTTGGGTACTTTTATTATTCCCATTTTAGAGATGAGAAAAGTGAGGTCAGAGAGTTTAACTCGTCCAACTTGCATCTGGTAAATGACAGGAAAAGAATTCCAACTTGTTTTGGATCTGGCGTTTTATGTTCTTAATCATTGCAGTTAGTGACAACATCTGATGTTCTTAAAATGAGTTGTGTTTGTATGTTCTTCATTCATTTAAAATGTCTCAAAATTCTCTGTTAAAATTGAGAACATTTCACTTCGTCCTGAGACAAAATTCCCATTTGTGTATTCTGATGCAAGCAGTAGCCCCATTACCAGAAATACAGCGCTGTCCAAATCCAGGCCATGAGGCACTCGGACCAACATTAATGAAGTAACCTTCCTTGTCTCCCCATACTGAGTGGATAATCCTGTGTTAAGCTGGTAATAGTTGAGTAGAACCTTATAGTATACTAAAAAAAAGAGGAAATTAGAGTGGCCAGTTTTTCTTCATCACAACTATTTGATATATGATGGAAAAACTCAGTTTTCTTTTTCAGTTCCCGTGTTCTGTTTTGCAGTAATCGAATTTACTACATTTTTATACTGTTAATCCAAGAATTTTGAGAAGCAAGTAGATGGAAGATACAGATCTCTAGATATAAAAATGAAAACTTTTATTTGTAAAATGGAAATACTACTTTTACTTACTTTAAAACTGTTTTCTTTCTAAAATGCACACTTCTAGAACCTAGGCTTGAAGTATTGGTGACTTATGAGCAGGTCGTGAAAAATCGCCCTTACAAACCCACCTTCACAGAACATTTTTAAGTTTTGTTCATAGTCTACTAGACAATTAGTGTTTATACAACTCTCTAATATATACATATTGTAAATTTACTTTCTATCTATCGAAGTGTATTGAAAATAAATGAGGTCATACTTTATAATCTGTTTTCATTGCTTAGCAGTGTACTCTTGACATCCTTTGTCATCAATACATAATTTCTAACAGCCATGAACAATTCTGTTGGATGGTTTATTTATTCTAGTTCCTCCCAAGATACTTTTAAGTTTAAAATTTTTCTCAATTATCTACAGTGTGACAGTGAACGTTGTTGTACAGCTATTATTCTCTTCTCCAGTTATTTCCTTAGGCAGTGGTTTTGAGTTTTGCTCTCATAATTGCCCAGAGAAATGTACTAGATTATCCAGAGCATTTTGGAATAGTTTATGAGGTGTGAAGTAACCTTTGCCACCATTGCCTTAGAATTTTGGTTAAACACAATAATTCCCCTTAAAGGGGGATGAAGAGGCAGGCATAAAGTGTATCAACTAAATAATACCAAAGTAGTAAGATTTTTGCATTTGAACATAATATATAGTCTTAAGTAGCCTTAATTTAGCCTTGAACTGAGAATTTCATTTTTCCCCCATTATTTCATTTTTGCCTTACAAAGATAATGGTGAAATATATACAAACAAGTGTGATTGTCATTAACATGATTGTCGCAAACCATTGTTTTACTTAAATAGTAAATGATTTAAATAACCCTGTTTTTGTGGGGATTGGGTGGGTGTTTGTCTCCCATGTAGTTTATATCCTGGAACCTGGAGATGCTCCTTTGTTACAGCAACCACTACAGACATCCAAATCTGGTATTCAACAAATAATTGAGTGCTTTCGATCAGGTATGAATGTTTTAGGATGTATTTTTTAATCTTCACTCAGTAGTTAAAAATGACCTAGAAATATCTGAAAGTAACTTTTTAAAAATAGTAAAATGTATGTATTGGTTTTCTTTATAGAATATTTTGTCATATTTTAAAAAAGTGAATGGATAAATATTGACTGAATAATTCTGTTGATCAGGAAATTCATTTCCAATACATATTAATGTTACATATTAATTTTTAAAATAACTTAGTAGAATTTAAAGAAATATGTGGTGTATTTGCTGTTAAAATGCCTCTTCCTCTAAGAGATTCATTGTTATCTTTTGGCACGTTCTTTTTTTTTTTTTTTAAAGATTTTATTTATGCTTACAAGAGTTGGGGTACAGGCCAGAGGTGTAGGGGGAGAGAGGATTCAACAGAGACAGAGAGGAGAACAGAACAGGCAGACTGACTGAAATACACTGCTGAGAGGAGCAGCAGGCAAGACAGGAGAGGTCTGCTGTGCCATGTGGATTGCTCCCTGGCCGGCCAGGGATCGAACTCATGCTGCAGAGGCTGCAGATTGCCACATAGTGCAGTGCTTAACCTCTTGTGCCACCAAGGAGGCCCTTGGTGTGTTCTTTATAAACTCTCAAAGGGCATAGTAAATTATAGTACATCTTTGTAAGCTGTGGCACAGTAGATTATTTGCTCAGAATGTCTGAGATGTAACTCATTCTAGATTAATTAACATTTCATCTCCGTTTATATACTCATCTTCCTCACCTGGGAGTTTGTGTCTTTAATCTTTAATATAGAAAAGGGACTTAATCCAGTCTTGATATCATCAGATACATTTGTTTAATTTTTCTTTCCACTAGATTATTGTAATAACTAGATATGTAATATATTGGTGCAGTTGCAACCCAGTGCTTTAAATACATGACTGAGAACTGTTAGAACTCTTATGTTATCAATAAAATCATAGCATGCTATGTTCTTATGATCTACTCTAAATCTTACAGACTTGGCTTTTCTAAACTCTTGCAGACTGTTCAGTCAAATATGAACAGGCAAACACGCAAGACACTTAAAGGATTAGAATATCTTTTGTTACCATTTTAAAGCTTACCATCTTAGTGATAATTTCTGACATTCAAAGGGAAAAAGATAGTTTATATGCAATAACTTTTACATTGATGAGGAAATTTTTGAGGTGCTTGATTTTAAATCATTCTAAAGATAAATAGCATGTATTTGCTTTATTTTGGGATTCTAAAATGGATTGTGCCTTAATCTACAATGAACCATTTTTTATATTTGAGTCTCTAAGATTCACTTCTTAAACTTTTTAGTTGTAGTCCTCATGGCATTGCTTTTATATCTATTTAATTCAGTAAGCTTTTGGTGTGTGTATCTTGTGCCATGGTTATGTTGCTTGGTGGTATAACCTATTTTTGGATGTCATTTTTAATTTTGATAATTGCCCTTGGTTAACAGAAATAACTATAGAACAAATTCTTGATAAATGCAATTAAAATTTTACTATTTGGGATAGTTAAGTATATTCTGGTATAACAGAAGAATGGTTAGTTTCTGATTGTAGTAAGAGTATCAGCTAATTTTAACATAGTACTTTGTTCTTAGATCATGGAAATGAAGATATTAATTTTTTCCATTTAGTAATGTTCCTTGCTATAGGTTTCTTTTTAAAATTCACAGTTTGGGATGAAGTTTACTTTATACTGCTACAGTTCATTATATTATTTGATTAAGAAGTTAGAATTGGTTTATCCATAAATGCTTTGTCTTGTAAAAAGTACCTTTTCAACAAAATCCTGTATCCAAAGCCTGTCTCTCTCCCTTGCACACATGCTTTCTCTCTCTCTCTTTCTCTCTCTCTCTCTCTCTCTCTCTCTCTGTGTGTGAGAGAGAGAGAACCTTGGAAGGTGAATATTTAAAATTGAAATTGTTTTCTTAGTGCTCTGTGGTCATGTCTGTTTTTTTGCATTTGCCATTTCTTTATGCTAAAGGAAGGGGCTTTGGAATGGGTAATATATTTTTTAAAAATTCCTAGTTGAGGGAGGAGCAGATAGTGACAGGAACGGGATAGAATAGCATCACTGGAGTTTTGGTGGAGGGTGAGTATAGCATGTGCACATGTGGAGGTCTGAAGTTGTACTTCCAAAATTATATCATTTTATATAAACAACTGAATGAAAAAAAATTAAAAAAATAAAATGTCCCCAGCAAATTTGTCTTTTAAGTTATTTTCATTTTGGGCAAATACTGAAAGTATACCTTTAATTGTCTAAGTATCTGATATTTTAAATTAGAGGTGAGTTCGAAATATGCTGAGTGGTTAGAGAAACTAATTTTGGTTTAGAAAAGGAATTTTTAAATTTCATTAATGTGTAAGCAGTTTTAATTTCCTCAAGACAGTAATTGCTCACATATCTGGATAATCTAAAATCTGTTAAGGTAGCTCTTCTTTTGCTGAGGTATTCAAGCTGTGGCTGACTGAGCCCTTAGGAGGATGGGATGGATGTTCGGCCACATGAGTAGAGTCTAAGACCCCACTTACCCTGAGACTCTTGCAGGTTCCTCCCAGTTCTACTCTGCTCCTAAGCATGCCTTCTGTGACTCATCTGTTTGTTGGCTCTTTCCATTACAACTGGATTACACATTTTGCATTTGAAGAACTATTCAGGTGGTGGTATATGTCTGGCAGATATTTGAAGATAGAATTCCGAAGCCCATGATTTTGTTCTTGTTAACCTACAGAGACAGTCAGATTGGGCAGTGGGAATGCGTTAGAGTATCTACCTTTATGTTCAAGTTCAGCCAGTTTTCTTTAGCTGTGGTATCATCTCTATTTAAGTGACTCACCTACTCCTGCCTATACTGGGCTGTCTATGACCTGGTTTTCATACCCCATCTGGAAGTTCATAAAAACCTGAAGAAGTCATTGACTTATATTTTAGATCTACCACCCCATGTATGCTGTACTGATTGTTTGACCTGCTTTGACCTATTTTCTTTGCTTTTGCTTAGGGCTGTTTGCATGACTTTAAATTACAAATCTTACTGACTTCTAGTATCTCTATCTTTGGCTGCTTGGTTTATAAATTTCAATAGATTTTTCTTTTTGCAGTAAGTAAAAAATTTTTTTTTTTGGTTTAGATAAATGATGAAGCTGTGCAAAAGGATATGCAGAAATACAAAAATAAGTCCCTCTATGGTCGACTGCCCCAGCCCCCGCCATTTCTCTTTTGCTCAGGCAACTACTACTGCATGGCTTGTGTGCCCCCCCTTTTTCTCCCCAGAGAATTTTTATACGTATATAAACATGTTCCTTGTTTTCACAAATGGCAGCAAACTCTGCTCTCTGTATGTACCTTCGCTCTTTTAACAGTACATTCCACAATAATGGAATCTACCTTTCCAAAGTAGATGCTTTATTTTTAAAAAAGGCTCTTAATTTGCCCCAACATATAGATTTTCTACTCTGAAATCTCCTGTTAAGTGACTTAAGACATGCTATTTGCTTTCAATTTCTGGTTTTAGGTACTACCTTGACTGTACCTTGCCCTTTCTGGAGTCTTACCTTGCTGTGTTAGTCCTTCTAGGATCATGTCTGGGACTTGGTGTCTAAATTTCCCTCCTTTCTGTTTAACACTTTTATTTTAGCCTCTTTCCTTCTTGATCTCCCTCCCTAGACTAAAACAAAATTTTAAATAACAACAACCAAGAAGAGGTATATTTCTGTGAGATATTTATTGCAATTGATTTAATGGAGCTTATGGTCTCAGTTTCTTAGTCTTGGGGTAAAGGAGCTGTGGAATGCCCTAGGATTAGAGACAGAAATGTTGGGAGGAAGAAAGTTAACCATTTCGTTTGATATCCAGAACTGCTTTTAAAATGACGTTGACATCTTCTCAATTTTCAGAATATAAAATGGTCTGGAAAGAGTATATGGTATTCTAGGAAAAAAATTGTATATGTAGAGTACACTAGACTATTGTGTGGAAGGAACAGCATCTTTTTTTAATCATAGGGAGGAATAAATTTCAGTAAAAAATGAGAATTGGGCCTCCCTGGTGGCAAAGCGGTTGAGCGCTGTATTGCGAAGCTGCCCACAGCCTCTGCAGCGCCGGTTCGGTCCCTGGCTGCTCCCCGGCCACCGGAGGTGGGTCCCACCGGGCATGCAGACCTCTCCTGCCGCCTGCTGCTCCTCTCAGCAGTGTACTTGTCAGTCTGCCTGTTCTGCTCTCTGCTCTGACTCTGGTGAATTCTCTCACCCTCCTGCTTTTCTCACTGTACCCAGAGCTTGTATAAATAAATAAATCTTAAAAAAAAAAAAAAAAGAGAATTAACCTTGTGTGGTTTTTGCTGTTGTCATTATCTTCCCAATTTCAGTTTGGTCATGAAAACTTATTAGAGGTTTTTTTTCCCCGTTTTTGTTTTTTAACTGCTTGAAGCAACAAGACTTGTAGTTCGTATAAGCTGTGATTAGATGAGGTGGCCTCAGTTCTGACTCTGAAAGCAAAAACTTAGGATGGATCTATGATTTATTGGAGAGTCATGGGAAACTGCCGTATTACATGATGAACTGGGTTTTTTGTTGTTGGAAATTTAAATTTGGACTAATTTTTTTTGAAGTATAAGAAAAATATAGATTTATTTGTTGGACTTGTTCTTATACTCATTTTCGAAGCATGTCATCTGGGGTTTTGTTCCTAGGAGAGCAGCCATTTATGTTATTCTGGGAATTTCTCAAGGGTATAGATCTTATCCTTGATTTTCATATCTCCAGTGATTAACATTGTACTTGGTATTTAATAGGTGTTCAATAAATGTTTGTTGTTAAACTAAACTAACAGATTCATCAAGTAGCCTCTAAAATAATTTTATTCTACTTAAAAATTTATTGTAGTATATGGCAGTGTTCCATAATAGGCCCACTAATTTTTTTTAGCCAAATCTTCTAGATTGTGCTTTTAAGATCACAAATTTGGGCCTCCCCGCTGGCTCAGCGGTTGAGTGCTGGGTTGTGAAGCTGCCCGCAGCCTCTGCAGCACCGGTTCGATTCCCAGCTGCTCCCGGACCACCGGAGGAGGGTCCCACATGGCGCGCAGACCTCACCTGCCGCCCGCTGCTCCCCTCAGCAGTGTGCTTTGGTCCTTCTGCCTGCTCTGTTCCCCGCTCTGGCTCTGGCGAATTCTCTCACCCTCCCGCGCTTCTGACTGTACCCACTGCTTGTATAAATAAATAAATAAATAAATCTTTAAAAAAAAAAAAAATCACAAATTCAATAAGCTTTTCCTACCTTTTTTTAACCTTTAAATACTTGGGTTAAGGGATGATCCTTTAGAAATATTCTTCATACTAGCCTTAGAACTCTTGACGTTTGACGGGAATTATAGATTTGCTTGCATTGTTGGCTAAACAATGTATGGCTAAACTAGTCATTCTAAAGAATGAGCTAAAAAATAAACAGTGTACCATTTAATAATCATTACTGCCACAACTTAAAAGGGCCATTGATCAGTATATCACTATAGTAAGGGAAAAACGTGAAAATTTATTTTTATCTGTTTTAGTGCAGAAGAGTTAGAATATGTCATGTAAAGTGACTGCCATATAACTTAATGTAAAGTTGAATACTGATTCTTTTTGAAAGAATATTTTAAATATTTACATCGGTATGTATACTTTGTATTTGGCATTAAGGAATAGTGCTAGATAAACCCTTCATGAGGTAGAACTATTATATGTTAACGCCTATTATGTATAAAAATATAAAATGTTTTTTATTTTATTTATTTTTTATTATTTAAAGTTTTTTTTAAAGTTTTTTTTTAATACAATAACTGGGGTACAGGCCAGAGGCTCACATGGGTAAGAGGATTCATGAGAGACAGAGTGGGGAGGAGAACAGGCAGAGAGCACTGCTGAGGAGAGCAGCGGGCATGACAGGAGAGGTCTGCCATGTGGGAATCTCCCTGGCTGGGAATTGAACCCTAGCTGCAGAGGCTTCGGACAGCTTCACAGCACTGTGCTCAACCTGCCGCTCCACCTGGGAGGCCCTAAAACACTAATTTTTAACATCAAGTCTTACCCTTTAGAGGGCTAGTTTTTTGAAGGATAGCATTTAATGACATAAATAGTAACTTCTATGATAATTAGTAACTTTATGATAGTGAACAGTAACTTCTATGATAATTAAGAAAGAAACAGAAGTATTAATATAGGAAAAAGGAATAACTAGGAATAAGGAAACATGACTCTCTCAGGACTGGGAACTGCGGAAGAACTTTGTGTTGCTCTCTAAGTGACCAGTCTGTTGTTCAGGTGACAGAAAGTTGTAGCTTTTGACAGAGGCACAGTTGGTTGGCTGTTTCTAATTGTTAGAGCAAAGCAATCAGAAAATGGTAGCTGATTAGAATAAAGCCATTACATCCCCATGGGAAAAACAGCAAAACCTTTTATGGTGGTTGAAACTTATAGAAAAATTTTTATTACAGAAAAGTTTTTATTGCCTGTGTTTATGGGAAGGGGGCATCTTGTTTTTTCCATTTACAAAACATGGAAGTAGAAATTAGTCTGTCTTGGGCCCTTTTTTTGATTTTCCAGTTTTAAGATTAAAAAAAAAATCATATTTATGGAGGTTTTCTTCAACATAGAAGTCTCCCATGTGTCAGTTAACATGAGGGCTGGAAGGACTGGGAACACAGTAGTGAGCATTAAAGATATATTCTCTGTCCTTCTAGGTAGAAAAAGCAGAGGTGAAGGGGGAGAGAGAGAGAGAAAGAAAGAGAATATGAATCAATGAATTCGGTAAATTCCTGGACCTGAAAAACATTTGATATACCTAGATCAATACAACCTTATATAGTATGTGTATATCTCTGTCTGTCTAGGTTGGGTGTGGTGAGGGGGCATTTATAACTGATAATTAAGGTTGATCAGTCAAGGTTACAGCTAATTGCTTTTTTTTTGGATGCTTTTGGAAACAAATGCCCGCAATTTACTGGCTATAACTAACTCTAGAGCTAATAAGAAATTGATAGTATGGTTTTAATCATATTGAAAGAACTTGATGTACCACTTATATTAGGGATTTAGTCTTATATTTTTTATAAGTAACTGCTTTTATGTATAACATTTATGTTGTACTTTTCTGTTTAAGTTTTCAGTTGAATTCTTTAGTTAAACCTGTTTCTGTGTCCCTTAATTTTCTTTTATTATCTTTCAAGGTAAAATTAAATCTTTACAATAGCTCTAGAAGATTTTTTAATTTAGAAATACAGTGTATGAGAATCTTGTGTTTTCTTCCCAGTAGTATTACACTTTGCTATACTTTCTGAGAACTGTAGGTAGATTAATTAGAAAGATTTATTTGGTTGTCATTCAGTACACCTCTTGTAATTTGTCACTCATTTGTGAGGTTGCTGTGAATTAAATATTATTGGCAATCTATTGCCAAGATATTTTGAAATGTGAAATGAAGAGCAATAACATGTATGTGTATTATGTATGTATGAATGTGAATTTATTTTTTATGTAAAGATTAATACTAAAGCTCTTCTCTGACATTTTTTAAATTTAGGTTTTTTTGATTTGTGGTAATACGGTGTAGTGGAATAAATGTTGGTTTGGATTTAGGAAAAGGTAGAAATGTATTATTTCATTACATTTTTTTTCTCAGTAGAAACCCAGATATACTGTTTAATTTTGCTAGAATTTAGGGTAATTTTTAAAGTAATTATCCAGATAGGTTTGTTTTCTTTTACAATATGGATAAATTTACATAAATTACAAAGATTTAAAGTCACACAACTAGTGTTTTTTGTTTTTTTTTTTCATTTTTGCAAAGAAGAACTGAGTTGAGGCCAGAGGTGTGGGGGTAGGGGGTGGCGGGGAGGGATAGCGGATAGCAGTGGGGACAGAGGATTTATTAAGGACAGAGTGGGAAGCAAAACAGTCAGATTTAATGAAATACGGTGTTGAGGGGAGCAGGAAAGGTCTGCTGCGCCATGTGGATTAGCTCCTTGGCCATGGAATCCAACTCAGGCCATAGGGGTAATGGTGCTGAGACTTAACCCTTAGGCCACCATTGAGGCCCTAGAACTTAGTTTATAACTTAGTTCTGAACATACTATGGTAAAAATTGGCAGTTTCTGTATTTTGTTTTTAAACAGTATACAGTATACAGTGGATTGTCAAAAATAATTGCCTGTGGATTGTCAAAAATAATTGCCCAGTTTAAAAGTGCAACTATAAACCAGAGACACACTACGGTGGGGGTGGGGAGGGGCGGGAAGGACTAGAGTCAAAATAAGGGGGTGGTGCAATTGTATGGGGAATATAACCATAATGAAAATGCATACATTGTGCAAAGATGAAAAATGATGTAAGAATTATATAAAATAAAATATTAAAAAAAAAGTGCATGTTAAAATTACCTTTGTGTTAAGTTTTGTTTTCTTTTTTCCCTCAGGAACTAAGCAGCTTAAGCACATTTTATTAAAAGATGTGGACACTATTTTTGAATGTAAATTATGCCGCAGTCTCTTCAGAGGATTACCAAATTTAATTACCCATAAGAAATTCTACTGCCCACCAAGTCTCCAGATGGATGACAGTAAGTTTTATTCATATGTTCAGCTATGTGTTCTGCAGTTCAGTATTCATATATTGCAACTATAATGTGTTAAAATGGTATTGATACCTACTTATAGATGATGGAGAATACAGTGAAATACATGTCTCAGTGTTATTGTTCAGTTCTTAGGTGCTTTCATATCAGTGCTTTTCACTTGGAATTTCCTAAAGATACACCAGGTTAGACTTATGAATGTGTGTGTTTGTATTAAAATGTTGGATACTGTATTTGAGTATTTATGTGAACCGCAGAGTTTATGCTCAAGATTAAGTTAAAATATCAATGCTTGAAGAGGGGCATTGGTATTTTTCCTCTTGACATCTTTAACTGCTTGCTACCATATATGACTTATTATTTATTTTCATTCCCCTTATGTAAATAAGAAAGTTAGATGTAGAGTGAAGATGGAGTAAATGAGTTGATGTCTTGGGACTGGTGGAGTACACTAAAAATACTAGCCTTCTCTAGTGTTTTCTGTGTTTTGTTTTGAAGATCAGTTTTGTTCTCAGTGAAAATATTTAGATCAGTCATTTTATCAGAAACTAGATTGTATCACAGTTTAACTTAAGATCCAAAATAGCTTTATGTGATAAAGGCTGGTAGTAGATTAAAACACTTCGTGGAATCAAATGTTTGTTGAATTAGTAAGTGTATTGTCTCTGCATAATTCAGTTAGCAATATAAATGGTGGTGTTATTTTCTTGCTTTAAAGAACTAATTTAAATTCCTTTAAATATTTAGTAACTAGTAGGTTACCTTCATTATTTCTTGTGTAGAAACTCAAACTCTTTGTGGACTTACAAAGTATAGAGCTTCTTTTGGTCAGTTTGATACCATTGTTGCATTATGGATTTTGTGCATTTTTCAACTTAACCTTTTTTGGAAAGGAATGAAATGCATACTCCAAATATAAAAAGTATTGTTTTAATTATTGTTATTAAACAGATTTAAAATACATGATGGGACATAGACGCAACAAAAATTTCATATTTATTTGGAAACTTTTCCTACTACTGTTAGATCTTACTAACTCTATCATTGAGAAATAGGAAAAGACAGTCTGTGGAGATTAGTCTGAAATCTGATCTTGTAATTACTAGTAGTTTTCTGGTGGCTGTTCTTTGTTTTTTGTTGTGGAATTGACACAGAGGAAAATAAATGAATGGATTTGCTGGCTTCTCATGTACTCTTGGTAATACTCATTCTGGAAATACCTCTGAGAAAGTGTTATCCTTTTTTTTTTTTTTAAAGATTTATTTATTTATTTATACAAGAACCAGGGTACAGGCCAGATGCGCGGGAGGGTGAGAGGATTCACCAGAGACAGAGTGGGGACCAGAACAGGCAGACTGATGAAATACACTGCTGAGGTGAGCAGTGGGCGAGACAGGAGAGGTCTGCCACGCCATGTGGGATCGAACCCGTGCTGCAAAGGCTGCGGACAGCTTCACAGCGAGGCGCTCAAATGCCTGTACCACCAGGGGAGGCCCTGAAAGTGTTATCCTTCTTACAGACATTACTTTTTCCATTTTTATTTTATTTTTTTATTTTTAGTTTTTTTTAAAGATTTATTCATTCATGCATATAAGAACGGGGTACAGGCCAGATGCATGGGAGGGTGAGAGGATTCACCAGAGACAGACTGGGGAACAGAACAGGCAGATCCACTGAAATACACTGCTGAGGGGAGCAGCGGGTGAGACAGGAGAGGTCTGCCACCCCATGTGGGATGCCTGCCAGCTGGCCGGGATCGAACCCGCACTGCATAGGCTGTGGACTGCTTCACAGCACTGCGCTCAACCGCCTGCACCACCAGGGGAGGCCCACTTTTTCCATTTTTAAAAGAAAGATGAGTAGACTAGAAGAGCTGTAATGAATCATTTTTGATTTCTAAATTGATACCAGATTTGGTGCTGTATTTTAGAGTTATATGTGTAAATATAACTAGCGTTAGACAACTCTGTTATAGTAGGAATATTTAGACGCTTGTAGAGGGTATAATTATTGCACAAGTAAATAACCCTTTGTTTTTGGAATAAATATAGCTTTCAGTCATTTGTGTCATGTTAAGACACATGAGACCAAGTTTAGCAAATATGTCTGTATATCATGGTATTCATGTTTATATATTTTCCTATAAATGTTTCTTTTTTATTTCCATGAGATGTTCAAAATCCTCATATAATTAGACCACATTATTTCTTATGAGTTAAGATAATAGGAGTATTGTTATGTTTTCTTACGCAAAATAATTTTATTTTTATATATAGTAACATTTTGATTATGTTTTATCTGTTTTGGGATATGAGAACTTTGATTTATCTTTGCTAACCTAAAACTTTTAGACTAAAATATGAAATATTCTTGTTTAGAACACTCATGTGCTTATATATTGCATATTAAGGGCATTTAGAAGTAACTTCTGATTGCATGTGCTCCTTAACATTTGTGTGCCATAATGAGATTTTTAAATTCAGACAAAATTTTAGTTTAATACTAGTTTTTATCATTAAAAAGTACTGAAAAGTAGATTATGCTCTTATAAAAATAAATATGAACCAGTAATAAAATCAATTTTGAGATAAAGATTCATAATACATTTTAAGGCTAGAGCAGGCTAATTATTTCAGACTAAAATCTTGGTTTTTTTCCTTAACAGACCTTCCTGATGTAAATGATAAGCAAAGTCAAGCCATAAACGATCTCCTAGAAGCCATATATCCAAGTGTGGACAAGCGAGAATATATTATTAAACTAGAACCCATAGAGACTAATCAAAACGCAGTGTTTCAGTATATTTCAAGGACTGATAATCCTACTGAAATCACAGAGTCAAGCAGTACTCCTGAACAAGTCGAAGTTCAAATACAGGAAACTAGCACTGAACAGTCTAAAACAGCAGCACCAGTTACAGATACAGAAGTGGAAACTGTAGAACCCCCTGCTGTTGAGATTGTTGCAGATGAAGTTGCACCTATATCTGATGAACAACCTCAGGAAGCACAGGCTGACTTGGAAACTTCTGACAATTCTGATTTTGGTCACCAGTTGATATGTGGTCTTTGTAGAAAAGAATTCAATTCCAGACGAGGTGTTCGTCGTCACATTCGAAAAGTACACAAGAAAAAGATGGAAGAATTAAAAAAGTACATTGAAACACGAAAGAATCCAAACCAGTCCACTAAAGGGCGCAATAAGAATCTTCTAGTTCCATTAAGTAGGAGTTGTCCAGTGTGTTGTAAATCATTTGCTACAAAAGCGAATGTAAGAAGGCATTTTGATGAAGTTCATAGAGGACTAAGGAGGGATTCAATTACTCCTGATATAGCAACAAAGCCTGGGCAACCTTTGTTCCTGGATTCTGTTTCTCCTAAAAAATCTTTTAAGACGCGAAAACAAAAGTCGTCTTCAAAGGCTGAATACAATTTAACTGCATGCAAATGCCTCCTTTGCAAGAGGAAATATAGTTCACAAATAATGCTTAAAAGACATATGCAAATTGTCCACAAGATAACTCTTTCTGGAACAAACTCTAAAAGAGAAAAAGGACCTAATAATACTGCCAACAGTTCAGAAATAAAAGTTAAAGTTGAACCAGCAGATTCTGTAGAATCTTCTCCCCCTTCCATTACCCATTCTCCACAGAATGAATTAAAGGGAACAAATCATTCAAATGAAAAAAGGAACACACCGGCAGCACAGAAAAATAAAGTTAAACAAGACTCTGAAAGCCCTAAATCAACTAGTCCGTCTGCTGCAGGTGGCCAGCAAAAAACCAGGAAACCAAAACTTTCAGCTGGCTTTGACTTTAAGCAACTTTACTGTAAACTTTGTAAACGTCAGTTTACTTCCAAACAGAACTTGACTAAACACATTGAGTTGCACACAGATGGGAATAACATTTATGTTAAATTCTACAAGTGTCCTCTTTGCACTTATGAAACTCGTCGGAAACGTGATGTGATACGACATATAACTGTGGTTCATAAAAAGTCATCCCGCTATCTTGGGAAAATAACAGCCAGCTTAGAGATCAGAGCTATAAAAAAGCCCATTGATTTTGTTCTAAATAAAGTGGCAAAAAGAGGCCCTCCGAGGGACGACGTGAGAAACAGTGATTCAAAACATGATGGCACTTCTAACTCTCCTAGTAAAAAGTATGAAGTAGCTGACGTTGGTATTGAAGTAAAAGTCACAAAAAACTTTTCTCTTCACAGATGCAATAAATGTGGAAAGGCATTTGCCAAAAAGACTTATCTTGAACACCATAAGAAAACTCATAAGGCAAATGCTTCCAATTCACCTGAAGGAAACAAAACCAAAGGCCGAAGTACAAGATCTAAGGCTCTTGTCTGGTGAGGAACAGTTACAGAGTTTTGCTTTTTCCCCCCCCATCGAACTAAAAAAAAAAAATCATTTGGCCATAATTTATAGCTGATTCCATTTTAACACTTTTGCTTCCATATGTTTTATGGCTATGGGAACTGCAAGAGTAATGTGCGTATTGCATTTACCTCTTCAGTGACCTTTTTTCCAGTGGTTTGGGAACAAAAATTAACTTCAGAACTTACCTTCCACAGGTAGATGGCACAGGGTCAGTGCTTTCCTTTCAATGTAAAATAGATACATTTATGTTGGCTTAATGTTTACAGTAGAAGTCTTCTGTTTAACTAACTTTGCACAGGTTTTAATTTGATTCAGTGACCTTAGTCTACTAATTAATGCGTTGTAGGAAAGTTAAATATATTAGAATGAATTTGTGAAGGCGATAATTATAGGACAGAAGTCTTTTGAGACTCTAATTATTGTAAAAATTAATCTGTGACAGCTAAATAAAGTGCTGCACTAAAAAAAAAAATCACAAATTGAATTTAGAATGACTAGCATATATCATTTACATTTAACATAGTGCTTCCAGGCAAAGGGAAAACTTGATAAATGGAAGTTTGGATTTTTTTTTTTTCCTTCTTGGAAGTAGATGTTACTGTTTTTTAGTTTTGATCTATGGGAAAATGATTAGTTAGGGCCCAAGGCCTCTTATTTTCCTTTTTGTTTAAACAAACTTTTTTGGTGATTATCATTTCAGTATAGTTAATAAGTAGGAATTTTTTGGTGTGTGTGGTTGTGCGTTGGAAGAAAAGTAAAATCCCTATTGGGAAGAAAGAAAAATTACATTTTTTAAGAGGGTTTGGGACAAATGTATATTTAAAAAAAATGCAATATAAAATAAGGAGTGGACTCCCTATGTGTTTTTGCAAGTCTATATAGTTTTTAAGGTTTACTTCCAGTTCCTGTGTCCTTTGTAGTAAGACATTTAATGTATTTAATGAGTATTAAATTAGTTTTCCATTCAGGTTCTGAAACTGTATACTTAGAGTGCTGAGTAGGTTAAAAGTTGTGGTTTGGTTATCACACATTTTTGTGTGTGTGTGTGTGTGTGAAAAACTTTAGATGAAGCCATCCTTTAGAAGTCATTTACTGTTGTATAATTTAAAAAACAAGGTTTTATTGATAAACTCAAAAGTGTTCATTTATTCCCATTTCTCCTCAGATAACTTCAAGTGATGTACGAAAAGGTTTGGAGTTCATTTTTGTGGAAAGACTTTAAATTGGTGTTAAAACCACTAAACATCTTCAAATGGTACTATGAGAAAAAAAAGAAAAACATTTCCATAAATATTCGACTGTAACTACTGTTTTCTGACTAAAATAATAACTACCTAACCACTTATTTCTGAGGCACTGCCTTTTCCAGCACTTTCAAGTAGCTGTGGCATTATGTATCGGCATCACAGTCCATCAGCTAACCGCCCTTGACCTTGTGCATTTGGTCTGCAGTTTCTACAAAAATGCTGCAAATTTTGTTTTACAATTTGTTGATTAAAGTGATCAACAACCTGAAGAAAATATCACCACTGGTGATTTTTAATTGACAAAGACTTTATATCTTAGTGGTTTTGGTTTTGTTCTGCTTTATTTAGCAAAATTTTCATCTGGATTGTACAGATAGATGATTTCCTAGTGAGAAGATGGTAGGGCCAAAAGATAAATTAGTAGCCACACATTATCAATATTTAGCCTACTAAATATATTTGTAATTATTTTTATATCCATTTATTTCTAACTTGTTCTTCAGCACTTAAATGCTTGAAAGTTGTATTCTCAAATGTATAATACATAAAAATTCCAGCTCATGTTCACCCATGGATCATTAACATTTTTCATTTGTAAACATTGAGCTTTTAATTAAAATTAAGCATTCCCTTTTAAATATTATACAAAGCACTTTAAGGCTGATCCATTTTAAATTTTCAGTTTCTCTTTTTTTTTAGAGACCACACATTTACTAATGTTATTATGAAGGTAGTAAATAGCTTGCTGATATTTCATGGATGCAGACAATCTGTGCACATCCACTTCTTATGCTACTAGTATATTTCTTTAAAAAAGGAAGATGGGGCTGTAAACCCTGATTTTTTTTTTTTTTCTTTCCCAAGAAAATTTTTAAATGGCCACTTTAAATAAATATTTGATTCCTATATAAAATTTGGAAGATAATGAACTCTTGTCCACTTTTATAATCAAGATTTTAGGAAAAACAGAAATACAGCTATCTTTATGAAATTTTGGGCAGGTTTTTGTGTATAAATATTTTGTACTTTTTAGGGAATATTTTATTTTTTAGTAATTTTTGACAAATTATAATTTTTAAAGGTACAGCAGCAAATATACCATGTTTTTATATAGGTTCATACCTATACTTAAGAGGGACCCTGTCCATCTATATACTTTTTGTATAAAATTTTAAAATGTTGAAGAGCCACAAGGTCATAATAAAATGCTTCTATAGCTAGGGAAAAAAAGACATTTACCCTTCCCAGTGCTTTGCACTAAAATATACTGTGAAAGGAAACTAGAAAGACTGTAACTGTTGCTGGAAATGTTCTATATTGAATGTACATGCTCTTGTTGGAAAAATGTACTATATGTGATGGAAATAAACCAGACTCGAAGTTATTTCAGCTAAATGTGCTTCAACAAAGGTGCATTGGTTGAAACTTAAATGTTCTATTATCAAATTTAAATTTATTCAGTGACTATGAGCAGCTACACTTGAATTATATTCTGATAGTTTTATTTTTAAAAATTAGAGTGATAATTTCTCTTTAATTTAAAAACAGATTTACTTTTCCTTATGGAAAATTTGTACTTATAGGTCTAACTTTAATAATTGATAGCATAATATATTTAGGGAACTAAATGTGTAGGTGGTATTTCAGTTATAAACCATCTTCATTAGTTGCAACATTATTAAACCTGTATGTTTTACTTTTGCAAGGTGTTATCTTTTGTGCTTTCCTACACACAAAACATATTCTAAATATTTTTTCCAGACTTAAGAACTGATGACCAGTAAAAAGATATGTGGATTCTTAAAAAATTTGAGATAGCTTCTTACTTCAACTTCTCATCTGTATTTCATCCTTTTTCTCTCTGCTTTGCTTCTTAAAAACTGTAGGGAAAAGAGAAATAACCTGATGCTGGCTGAGGGAAGCCAAATTGCTGGAATTCCCTTACTCCACTCACCTGTTCCCACAGAACCATTCACATTATGCCTCCTCTGTACTAACTCTAGGGCCACAGAGTAGGAATTTAGGAGGAAATGAAGGTTCCAAGGACTATCTAAAGATTTTATCTGGCCATAGAGAGAAAAACTGCACTATGTTAGGACTTGTGTAAATGAGATGGACCTAAAGAGGTTAGGAATGTTTTATAATAGCCTAATTAATGGTTCCTGACAGAATAGGCGTTAGATGCTAAGCTGGGACCAGTTTAGAAAGTATAGAAGGAAAAAGTAAACGTGATTAGATTTCTTTGTTCTTTCTAGTCTTCATCTTTTTTTTTTTTGGACTCTTGGGCTCTGTCATCTCAGAAGGTCAGACTTGAGGTTCTTGAAGTCTAAGAAAAGGCTTCATTGTGCCCTCAGAAGCTTTCTGCACATAAGCTATCTAAGCAGATATCCATGGGATTCTTTGTTGTAGGGGGAACAGGTAAAGTGCCATAAGAAACTGCTAATTTTATGCTGAGTCCTACCTCTGGTTGTAGATTATAGATACCTTTGCTGCTACTTGATTAAGAGCTTCTCCATACAATTTAACTCATCTTCCTGAGGATAACTTCCATTCCTAAATGTGGTGGAAAGAGGAGAAACAATAACAGGTATAGAATGCACTGCAACTTTGCAAGGTTGGATTATGCTTGGATTGTGATAGCTGGATGAAATGTGACTGACACCGGGTGGGTGTTTGATACTGTATGCAGATATACCTTGAATATAACCCTTTTTTATTTTTTGGTTCATGTCTCCCCCCCAAACCCCCCTCCCTTTGACTCCCTACTTCAAGACGAAAACCTGTGAACTGTGTTAACCCATCCTTAGTTTTTAGCCTGGTTTTGTGTATATGAGCTAAGTTTTTGGTTAACAGCTTGCTTTTATTGTTGAAAACTACCTTCACATTTTTTTTGGAATATGTATTTGTAATATTGCTTTATGGTGATAAGCAGTTGTATTCAGTTTACTTTAAAGAGCTTATGGATGCAGTTGCAGCAAGTTTTGTGGTTTTGCCGCCTTGAGACTGTGGGTTTAGATGGAGAGTTTCCCTGTAGGTGTGACGGCAAGTAAATTGGAGATGTATGATATCATTTCCTTTTGTGAAGTTGAAAATGATTTTTTTCAAATAGCAAGACCACTGAAAATGAGATAGGTATCTTGTAAAATTTTGGAAATAGGTTGTCAGGTTTCCTGCAGTGGCTTCTGGAAGTATTCTAGACCCTTAGTTAGGAGTTTTTAGAAGTTCCTTTTCTAATGGAATCTATAGATTATCAAGATTATGATTTAGCTATGACTCTCATAGTTGATCTGAAGCTGAGCCTTAAGATATGTGCAGCACAGCATCACGCATGCTGTTAGAATCCTTCTGTGTTCTATGCTGTTCTTGCCCTCTTCTCTGACTTTAGGAGCTAAAAGAAACCTTGGGATTAAACAAGAGTAAGGGTCAGCACTTTTAGGAACAGTTATAAACTGTTTGGTTTCTAAGGCATTAGTCACATGGTAGAATGAAGAAAAAAACATTTTTCTTGAACTCACCGTTATCCTGACTTGTATTCACTTTCCAAGTTCATTCCATCTCTCATTAGTTTTTGCATCCTTTTTCTCTGTTCTGAACCTCTAGCTCTATACTTTTCCCAGTTAATTAACAGACATCATTAGTACCAAGATAGCAAAACATTTTTTGGGAAGGTAAGAGAGTAGCAAGTGCAGCTCATTTCTTCATGGATCTTTATTGCTGTACATTTCATTTGACCAGATTTATTATTTATTCTTATGCTTCTTCCTCCATATATTCACCATCACCACGACACAAGCGGGGGGACCATAGTGAAGAACATTGGTGTATCTAGGTGGGAAAACACCCAAAATTGGAGGTTTTGCTGTTTGTGTCCACTGAGCAGAATTAATATGCTTGATTGTATATTTTTGAAGTCAGGAACTGTGTCTAGATGATTTTGTACAGTGCCTAGCACATCTTCATGTATACCCAGACACTTTAAATAAATATTTATTTAATAATACTAAAAAAGCAGCCTTTTCCATCTCAAAATTGTGCTGAGATATATATATACACACACACACACTTTGAGGCTTTGAGTCTTAATTTCATGAACTTTTATCTCCATATTGATATATTTAACTTATTTTAGAAAATGCCCCAGTACTAAAATTAAAGTTTATGATAATGGAGAATTTTAGTAAGAAATAATAGTGAATATTCATGAAGTGCTTATGCTAAGCACTCTGCTAATTTTTCACTTGCATTTTGCCCCAATCCATCAGCAATCCTATGAAGTTAAGTACTATTACTTCATTATTCACATTTTATAGAACGGAAAATTGAAGCTCAGAGTACAGTGATTTATTCAAGTTTCGGTTCAGATAAGCTAGTATGTTTCTAGCAAATTTAAATAGCTAGTATGTCTAGTACCTTAGAATTAAAACTTGACACTAGGTCCAGTTACAAAGCCTATGCCCTTAATTGGTGCAATCTTTCGCACATTTTATTCTTTGCAGAGTTCATTCTCCGCATTACCTTTTTGGCATCTTAATGTAATGATTTGGAACTGTATTACTTGGTTACAAGTTTGGATCTACAAATAATGTTATCTGACCTTGTAGAAATTACTTGTTTCTTAGTTACCTATAAAATGGGCATAGTATTTCTTACCTCATAAGGTTGTTTTGAATATGAAATTAAAAATTTATGTAAAAACCCTTAGTTCCTGGAATATTACAATATTAGATATGATTACTGTGATTTTCATAGCTATTAAAATATGGAATTTTTAGTTGTCTTTTTAAGTTAAGCTTACATGGAAATATGTACATTAGAAGAGAGAACTATTGCTACATATCAAATTTTAACTGGAACAGTGAAGACAACGAAATATATTACTTGCTACCAAGTTATAACCTAATCATATTCTTTGATATCTGATTAGATAACCTAATTCAGATATTCTAGTTCATTCTTCATCATAAATTTTTCATCACCTTGAAAAGGTGTTAGGTTGTTTTAAGCACATTCATTGCTAAATAGACTGTTTTTATAGTTATTCCCCAGAATAGCTCATTTGCCCTCAATTCTCATTATTTGTCCTATCACAAAATTTTTTGACATGTACAAAATATTGACACAGAGCAAATATTAATTGAATAACAGCTGAAATACCTTTAAGACAAGTTATAGATACGCAGAATGATTTGGAAGAAAGCACTCAATTATGGAAAAAGTAGATTCTTTGGGAGAGCACACTTGGGCTGAGTCAGGAGTTTTTTTGGTGAATGTGTCATGAAGAGATAAAGTTTTTCAATGGTAGTCACTACTGACAGTACTCTGCATTTCAGTGAAGATTCAAGTACTGTTAAATTATCTGCCAAGAGCATTTACCCCTACGCCCAACTGTTCTTGATCTTGCCTTGTTAACAGTGTGATGATTTTAGAAATTTTAATGGTTAGTGATTAACCATTTTAGAAATTTTAATGGTTAGTATATAATTTGCATCACCAGAGAACATTTGTCCGTGGGTTTGGATGAACTTTCATATCCTGAACTTTAGATCATATGTTTGGTGTGCCAACATCTGGGTTTTGTAGCTTTTTAATGATTGTGATATTCAAATATATCAGGTGTCTGGAGCATATTGCTCCATATTGCTTAAACATCAAAATGTTTAAGTAGTAGAATGATTTGGTTGAAAAATAGCCAAACCAAAATAAAAATGTGCACCTTGAGTTGAAAGGTCCTACTTTGGAAGCTTGAACTAGAACAATTTGCAGCTTATCTGGGTAGCCTGCTCTGAATAATCTGATAACACTTGTAATACTATATACTGAGGGTATGTTCAGAAGAGAAATTATTACACCAAAAAAGAACCCTAATGGGTAGAACTTTATTACAACTCAGGTTTGAATATTGGTTTTTAATCCCTTCTATCCGTGGAATGACCTGAAAATAATTTAGCTCTGAAAAACAGAAGTTTGGCTTTTAGTCAGAAAGTTTTTAGTTACAAACCTTTGATTTCTAAGTTGTATGAAAACATTTTTTTAAAAGATGAGACTCTTCTTGGGTAGATAGGAACTTTGCGAGACATGAACCCCGCATTACCTGCTAATTGTGACAGGTAGCTTTTATTTTGGTTGGAAAGAAAAGCACGTAATACTTCTAAGAAGAAGTAACATCTCTAGGAACATAGTATGCACAAGCGACTGAATTATATGAAAAAAATAACTTGGGGGAAAGATTTGGGTGTACTTCCCTTCAGTTTTTGACATAAGTTGCCAAGCAAGTTGTTAGGAAGATATTTGGGTCATTTTATGTAAGCTTCTGTAGGGGATTGACCATGTCCTTTCATACTTTTTGATCTTTAGGTATTTATTGACTTCCTCGGAATTCAGTGAACTAAGCATTTGTAGATGTTTGAGACTTTCTCAGCTTCCTTCTCCTTCCTTTGAATGGGCAGGCTTTGAGAGAGAGAAGTTACTGGGGCTTTCATAAAGACAGACAAGAGCACACTTAGTGAAATTTATGAATAACTTCCAATCTTTATACTCTCAAATTAAGCTTTACTCAAAACATCTTCATAATTTTCTAATTTGTTCTTTTTTAACTGGGCCATCTTAATTAGTCAACTATGGTTTCTTGTGATTGTAAGAGAATAAGATAGTGTATAATGCCATGACATTTGGACACAGGTTTACATACATATAAGAGGAGGGAACTTTATTTTTTTATCTTTTTAAATATGCATGCAAGAACTGGGGTACAGGCCAGAGGTGTGGGGGGGTGAGAGGATTCACCAGAGACAGAGTGGGGAACAGAACAGGCAGACTGACTGATGTATACTTCTGAGGGGAGCAGTGGGAAAGTCAGGAGAGGTCTGCTGTGCCATGTGGGTAGCTCCCTGGCCAGGGATCGAACTTGTGCTGCAGAGGCTGTGGATAGCTTCATAGGTTGCATTTTAATCCCTTGCGCCACCAGGAAGGCCCAAGAGGAGGGAACTTCAAAGGAGATGGTTTTGTTTCCTGCAACTGCCTTGGATCTCTCTCTCATCTCTGATGCACCATTGTAGTGATAGGATTTGTTAGTTTTTAAAGTTTAGGATACTTTAAGACAGGGTTAAATAATACAGCATCTTCAAACCACAGATGCTACAAGATGGAAGACCCACCATGCTTGGATTCCCAGCTTGCCATATCATCTCAGGAGTATGAGTGCATGTGCACCTTGTATGCAGACACTGTGCTGCTGTTGCTGTTGCAGGCTCAGAGTTTTACTTGGATCTGTACCTAGTAAGGAGTGGTTTAATAGAAGGGATTTTTCTTGGTATATGTGGAAATAAGAAATGGCTAGGCCTCATGGGAATCTAGGAGTAATTATACAAACTAGCCAGTCATATCGGTTTCAAGATGTTAGAGACACTGGAAAGAATCAGTGAGCGCCAATGATTGGCTGTTACCCTCTTAGCAGCCAAACTATTGCTTCTCTGCTGCTAATTGCCCTTTTCAGATTCTTTTACTATTTTTTAATGACTTCATTCCATATCTTCTCAATGTGGTTATAACAGCCTTACAAATTAGACTGCCTGGTATTCTTGTATCCGCTTTCCCTCTCCTTGCTTAAGTTGAGACTCTAGTAAGAGGAAATATGATTGGCTCAGGTTCATTCACTGTTGGGCACATTTCCTAGGCCAGACCTTTCATAGCTTGCTCTCCAGAGATTAACTGTTCTTGGGACAGGTGCTTTCCGTTGCTCCAGTCACTGGTGATCTTGGTGGCAGAGTCAATTGCACTGTCCTGACCCAGTGAAAGGATTCTTTTGATGGGAGCCTTTTAATGAGGTGTCTGGACTGCCCTTGAATGTAGTACTTTTTTCTAGTACACATAGTTTTCTGCATTTTCACAAGTGATGAAGGTAACTTATGGGCTTGGATGTTAGGTCAGTGCAGCACTGTTAGGTCAGTGCACCAACATTGTAGCACCTTTCTGTACTGAGACCATGTGGAGAAGAGTTTTCTGACCTGCATCTGCACTATCTTTTGTGACCTGCCTTATGCTGTTTCCATCCATTCTAAAAGCCACAGGGCTTTGTAGATTCATAGACGACCTGAGGTTTTCGTTCAGAAAGAGTCATTACATTTCCTGTGTCAGCATATTTGGCAATTGTGTTACTGATATTTTCCAGACACCCACAACTCTGCTGCATGGTTTGAGTGGGGGATTTCTTTAAAGTATTGATTCTACTTTTCTACTCTATTTTCCACTTTTGGACTTACTCTATTTGCTGCTTTATACTCCCCCATTCGTTCCTTTGCTGACAGATAGTATTGAGTGTCCATCATGTGCCCGCTACTATTCCATGCTTTTGGGGAAACAGAATCAGACAATGGTTGAAGTACGGATTTTTAAAAATCATACAGGCCTGAGTTCAAGTCCTGGCTCCTTTATTTACTAGCCATGTAGTTTGGGCAAGTTACTTAATCTTTCTCAGCTTCAGTTTTGCTGTCTGTGAAGTGATTAATATTAGAAACTACTTTATAGATAGGTTGTAAGAATTTCTGAAAGTTTATTATATATAATATACCTGGCACAATGCCTGGCACAGGTAAGTGCTTCACAAATATGTATTGTTACTACTGTTGTAGCAATCACTAAAATCTCTATCACTATGCTGCTGAAATTCTTTCTAGCACTTAGTTTCTGGTTATCTTACTTTGCCATTTGATGTTCGGTGCCTTATTTTTGGCTTTAATCCAACCGTTTAATGAAAGGTCAGATGTAACATCAGTGATAAAGTCAGTATACACAGCAGTTTGTTAAGTTAAAGCATATCATTAATTTATGGGTCTTTAGTCTGTCATTTTTACAGGACCTTTTGCAGTTGTTCAAGAATTTATTGAACTTTCTGATATAACTGCTTCTTTGTGATTAATGCCTCACAGGACAACATATAGTTTGGAGAACTCAGCAACTGTAGGTTTTATTTTTTTGTTGTAGACATTAGGCTATTAGCACATGGACAAATTCTGAGTTTACAGCAAGAATTATGTCTTCTCTTTGTATCACCAATACCTTATAATTTACCTGGCATATAACATGATAAGAGAAGGCAGGACGCTTCATCAGGCTTATCATTAGACCACAGAATGTCTTTACTTTTACTTCTTTTCCCATTACCTCACCTTCTGATCTGTACAGTGTGAGTTCCTCTCTTTCTGCTATTGATGGCTTCTATTGCCTGCCTTGCCTCAGCCTCTGGATACCATTGCTACCAAGTAATGGTAGACAGATTCAAGCTCATGGGAGTGCTGTGTATGCCCTGAAAAGTAATCCATAATCAATTATATGCTGTATGGCTTTGTAGTTACTACTTTTTTTGGGTAACTCTTTATAAGATTCCTTTCATGCCTTTTGAATTCTGTAAAAGGCAGTTTGCCTTTCACTCCACGTTCTACTCCCAGATCCAAACAATGGAAACACAATTGTTGACTGCCTCTTCTGTCATTTGTTTAATCTTCGGAGTCAGAATTGATTAGTCATTTCATTTAACCAATCCTCACATTGCTTACTTCGAATATTTTATACTGCCTTCAAGCCCCCAACCCTATTTTTGCTCGGTAAAAGGCAACCTTGCCTATGTTATGGCAAAGGTAGAAAACGCTTCTTTATGCTCCCTTTCCGTGTCACAATTATTTGTTGTCTTGTTTCCTCTTCCGTTCTTTGGATGAAGAAGTATCTTTCTTTTGAAAGTGCAGCACTTCTATTCTGGCCATCTCCTTCCCTCCGACACTCCTCCAATAACCCTCCTTCCCCTGCCCCGTCTTTCTCCTTCACAAGCTCTCCCTCTCCGCCTACAAACTGAGCACATTCCTTTCAGCCAAAAAGTGGACTTCCCCTCTATTTTTTGTTTGGTTAGCACTATCAGTTCCTCCTTCCTTTCATTGTCAGACTTCCATGTCCTCTCACACTACTGTTTTAGCACTATTTCACTACATTGAAATTGTGAACTTCTCTTGTCTTCTTCATTACCTTGTAAACTCTTAGATATGTATCTTGATCTCCACTGATTCCTCAGGGCCTAGGATAGTTCTAGTAGTACAGAGTAGACATTTGATAGTTTTTGTGGAGTGAATAGTATCTAGATCATTTACTTGTGAACCATCTGCAATTTTTTTTCCCGCCCTTACATTCCTAGTGAAAGTTCCTTCACCTGGAGGTCATCGATGACCCCATAAATACTAAATCTGGCGGCTTCTCACTTGCCATTATGATTGACCTCTTGCTGACCATTAATGCTTTCAAATTTACCTTTCCCAGATTTTCATGATCACACAGAGCTAGGTCATCTTGAGGCAGTCAGTATGGTGTTACATCCAAAAGAAACAGACAAGCTTGAAAATTTTCGAAAATGCTTGCCTTCTTATTTTACCAAAATCTTATGAGATGGAAATTTACAATCACATGAAGCTTAGAAAATTTCATAGTTCACTTTACCTCTCTTCCCAAATTCTTACACAGCTTGGCAAATTCCCCCAATCTCTCTTCTATAACATATCCCCGAAAAACCTTTTATAAACTTTCTATCAAACCCCCTCTTGTCCACTTTTTCCATCTTCTGGGAAGATGGGAATAATTCTTACTTTCTTCCAAGAATAATTCCCCTCTTGCCAGTTTAAATCACTTTAGCCTTTTTTGGCTCCTTCCCATTCCTTTCTACAACCTTTATCCTGTTCAGCAAGAATATTTTCTTGATTTCATCTGCTTTGCCTAACCAACTTTCTTTGTATGATTTTCCTTAAAGCCGTGTATCAGACACCGAGTGATCTCCAGTGAGTATTTTCTGACCTTTTCAGTTCTGCTGGGGTTCCCCCTTGTGTGTTTCTTCAGTGCTCCATTTATAATTATGTTGGATCGCTTTGTATTTCTCCCAATATAATTATATTGGAATCGCTTTGTATTCCTCCCTGAGTCTATAAGGATAGGCTAAGATATACCCTAGCATCTAGCAGAGTAACTGACGTCGTGGATGTTGCTAAATATTTGTTGAGCCAAGGTGCCTATGAAGGCCGGTACTTCCTCTCTTGCCATTGGCTTTTATTTATTACTGGGCTTTTAAATGTGGATCATTGTTTCCTTAATCCCTTTTACTTTTTTTCATATCTCAGTGATTTCACCATTCCTGAAGTGTCACCACTTTTGTGATGATGACACTAGGTGTGTTTTCTAACCTGGCTAGTCTTCCCATTATGAGACCATTTGTTTTCAAAATTGCATGTTCGACATCTCCATGTGGCTGTTTCTCCAGTATCTTAAATGTGACAGCACCTCAGTAAACCAAATTTAATTATCTTCCCTGTAAACTTATTCTTTTATGTGTTGCCTTTCTCAATTATTCACGCTCCTACCCTCCCAGGTGCCTAGAATCCTGGGAAATACCTTGACTTCTTTCTCTCTCTTATACACTTTACCTAATGAGACATTGATTCCTTTCTGTCTTGCCTCTGAATGTTTTTCACATTTGGCTCCTTCTTGCCACCTCCACCTTTAATAATTTAAATTGGACTCTTATCTCTTACCTACATGATTGCAGTCTCTTAACTGGCCTCCTCTGATCTGTCCTCCATGCCATTGTCACAACTGTCTTCCTAAAAACAGATCTGTTATTGTGTGTTCATCTGTTATTGTATGTTATCAGGAAGCTTAAATGTCATTCTGAATAAAGGCAACATAAAGTATGTCTCCTTGTAGTTCTGCTTCATTTTCCTTCCCTTATTGTTACCTAATATAGCCTGTAATTATGTTTATATTTGGTGCATTGATTTGTATAATTTCTGTCTTCCCACTGGAGGGTTTTATATGAGAGACTTGGGAGAGTTAGGTAGACCTGTGCCTATGAGAATGGTTGGGATATAGTAATGCTAAAAAATACTTGAGTGGATAGATGGCAGATAGCTTATCAATATAGGCAAGTAGGACATAGAAAAGGCAAGGAAGTTAAAGGGTTCTAGAATCAGCTTACATCTTCTTGGATCTGGTCTATTATTTTATCCTTTGTAAAATAGTGATGGGCTTTCTGCCTTTTGCAGAAGGATGGGAGTCAGCAGTGACCCTCCACTCACACTGATGCTGCTGTAACTGCAGTTGATTTGAGGGCCAGCCGGAGGTGGCAGCTAGACTTGTTTACCAGATATTGGTGCATAGGTGCTGCCCTAGGTATGCAGACAAACAGGTATTTGCTAGGTTGAGTTAACCCAGATTCCTTTTGAGCCTCATGAGTGATGCAAGCCTTTGCACCACACGTTAATTTGTGCTTATTACTTGGAGGAGTAGTTGCGTATGAAATAAAGTATTTATTTGCCTTTTAAAGATTGAAGATTTCAATTTAACGACGTTTTATTGAATAGAAGATGAAAGAAATTGTTTCAAAATATTATCTGGGATGGGTTAGTAATAAGCGAATTAAACTCTCCCCCAAAAAACCTGCTTCAGGTTTCAAAAGTCAAAGAATTTCATGGGCATCTTCAGATTTCACTGTTTTAGGTTAACTTGCTTTGTCCATTCATTAGACATAATGAGCTCCTACTTTGTGTGTGGTCTGACTTAGGTGCTAGAATTGCACAAACAAGAAATGCAGTTCTTCCTCTCCAATGCCATTATGGAGACACACAGAACTGTTATATTAAAGGTACACTGAGGTTTTGGGGGGTAGGGAAATAATTTCCCTCAATTCATTGTTGAATTTTGAAAGAGTTAGCTAGGTAGAAAAGTTTCCAGGTGTGTATGAATTCCTGAAACCATATGGAGACCGAGGGAAGGAATCTGGGACAAGAAATGGCCAGATCAAGAAAGATCGTATGGATCAAGTAAGTAGTTTGATTCATATATTCAGGATTAGGGGCAGCTATTGAAGGATTTTAAGCAGAGTATGAGAGCACTGAGACTGACCTGGAGTGGGGATGGAGGGTAAGATTGGTGGTGGGGCAATCAATTACAAGTTTCAGTAATCTAAGGCCTGATAAGGGTCTACATTTAGATAATGACAATGAGATTTGGAGACAGATACAAATACTATCACTGTTACAGAAGTGGAGTTTTCCAGGCAATGGAGATAAGGAACATAGGATGATTACCAGGTTTGGACATTCTGGCTTGGCAGTTGATGGTACTGTTCTTTAAGGAAGGGATCACAGAAAGGGACACTTTCCCAGGAGGACATGTTGAATTTGAGGTGCTTGTGGGACATCTAATTAGAGTTTCTTAGTATGAGTAAGGTACACAGGTCAGGAGAGAAATTGCCCGAAGGGCGGAGGTTTAGGTTTTGAAAAGATTGTCAAGAAGAATAGCCCACATTTCATACCACTTCATACAAAATTAGGGTTCATTATATAGTTTAGGTCAGTGCCTTCCTGTTTCATTTTTTTATTTGGGAAATGATATTTGACTAGCTATGGTTCTCTGCCATTCTCCTGTTAGCTGCCTCCACCATGTATCTAACATATATTTGATATTCCTCTGAGATGTACTGGATAATTCACTTGTATTCGGTGATGTGAACTAGTCTATGTTGTATTTAGAAGGCTTTTGGGGTAAAATCTGTAAAACCTATTTTGAAAGATTATTTCTTAAAAAAGGAAGTATCTAATTTTTAAAAAATAAAACAATCTATTCATGTTCTTGGACTGAACATGATGTGTGTGTTGGGTGCCATACCTTTGATCTGCCCAGAATTTGTTCATGGTGTAACTCCTATGTAACTCCAAGGCAGAAACTATATCTGATAACTAGAAGGAAGCCACCTGGGTAAACTGATAAATTCTGACATAACCCATGTAATAAACTTAAGTAAGTTAGTATCCATAGCCAAATTCTAAGGGCAAAAATCTATTAAGCATTGAACAGATGATTGGAATTCACTTTACTTTGTTTTCTGCACTTTTGGGGCTGGGGAATATTTATAATAGCAGTTAATAAAAGCTAGGTCCTGCACTATCATATATGATCCTATGTGGCCCTTTCTGATTTTTCCTGTCATCTAGATAACCACTAGAGTTCAAGTGGAGATATTTGCCCCCTGGGAACTGAAGCAGCCTTTTATCCCATTCAGGTCAATTGATAGTTACCAGGGTTTGCAGCATGACTTCTTAGAAATAGTCCTATTTGGATTGTAATCAGTGATTTAATACTGAAAGCATAGGTCCATATACCATTTGAGCTACTTTTGAAGTTAACTTTTTAACTCTTCCCTTTACCTTTAAAAGGAAGAATTCTTGGGAGACTTAACATGTTTTTTCACTAGAGTAAATTTTATGATGAGTTATGACCCTTAAAAACTGAAATCAGTAATAGAAGTGCTGACAGACTAGAGAATAGCTATAATAAAATGATGTTTTTAAAAAATTATTATTATAACTATAATCTAGCAAAATGAGAAAAAACTTTTAACATTTTCTCTTCTAATGTGTTGAAAGTTTCTTATTGAACTTTAACAATAGGGATCAGCATAAAAACTTAGAAGCCATATCAAACTAACACAGGCCCCTTGCTGTAGCACAGTTCTTTTAAATCATAAATTTTTAACTAATACTTGTTTTAAATTTTCTCTTAAAAATAAACTGTTGATACATTGATTTCTCCCTCCCTCTCTGGGAAGCCTCTGTATAACTGTTTACTCATCAGTAAATCACTAAGACATTACTTATAAAGATAATATACATATTTAGGTGTTTGAAGAATTGTGAGAAAAATGAACAGGGAGAAAGAATTTTAAAATACATAACTTTCTGCATAGAGGACTTCATTTGTTTAATAACCTTTTTTATATTTGTAGTTATTCCTGCTGTTTGTCAATATTTGATAGATAAATTTTATTATAAATTTCTTAAAATATTATGTTAACCAATAACACACACATTTTCTTTATCCATAAAATAATGAATGTCTTGAATTTATGTTGTGTATTTTGCCAAAAATTATTAAATGGTTATATTTTATTCCTTTAGCTTTATAGAATTACTAGATAACTGAGAGTTTTGTTTTGACATTTTTTAATTTAGTGAAACCCATGGCGCACTATTTCAATAACCAGGCCCAATTCACCGACTTAATCAATGGAAAAATAGAACTGGCACCTCTTAATTTCCTGGTTTTGTGTATTTTGGGTGGAGCTGACTTTCTGAGTACGAAGGTTGTGACAGGAAATAGTGCTAGGTACCTGCAAAAAAATAGTAGAGAGGGTTGCCAGACATCCTGTATAAGTATGATTTTCTCAGGCCTCAGAGTCCTGCCCAATTAAAAGTTATAATTAGATCAATATTGATCTTATAGTTGGGCCTGTTCAGTCACATGTATGGATATATTACAAACTTGTCATCACCCCCATGTAATATTCTATGAAGAAAATTTGGCAACCTGGTATTTGAAAAATTATTTCTAATATTTTGTGCCAAGCTATTTAAATCAGATTGTGACTAAAACTAAATTCATGTCCTATCAGAATTGATTCCTCTGGCTAATTTATTTTGTCCATACTGCCACCATCATTTTGCTTATCGCACAGATTTCAAAGCCTATTTCCTCTTTGAATCTGTTCTTGACAGCTCCAAACTGGGCTGACCTCTTTCTTTGATGATCTCACCTTTACCTTACCATTTATTTTTCACTTTCATCCTTTGTGTTATCATTGCATTTAATTACAGTGCCCCCATGATTAAACTGCAAGTCTAATCATAATGTAATGAAAATGTCAAAACTATCTTGACTTCCAAGACTAACAGTTCTCCTCTACAGGCCTGTTTCCGTTCTGTTTCCTCGGTGTCAGTCAGTTTTGCTTGTTTTCTTTGCAGTGTCTCCTTTGTGTCCTACTTTTATTGGTCTATACCTTCTTCTCCTGTACTCTTGCCTGCTCTGGATCTGTTAGTATTTTTTGTTTATAAAGATTATGAATAACTGTAGGAAATTCTTGGACTAATTTTATGGCAACACAGGAGTGATTTTTTTCAGCTTTTTCCTACCTTCGGATCCATTTTTAACTCTACCACAAAAGTTCTTCCTCTTAATTATTTTCAGTATTTAATCATTTATCAAAAGGTGTTTTGAGAGTCTGTATCTTAGAAGTAATAGTTTGAATGTAAAAAAAAAAAAAAAGGAGGACTTATTTAACCAGAATTTTACTTTTGATACAGAATAGAAAGAAGAGAAACATTGTCAAGGTCAGAAACCTGAATTCTCTTACCAGGTTCTTTTGCTTATTATGCTGCTTTTATAGCCTGGTGGGAACAGAGTAGAAATGTAAATAATTCTTATATGCTGTTATTTAAGTCACTACAAAGTAAGGCTTACAGTTATTTAGCTACCTGGCATTTTTGTATATACCTTCTTGAGCCATATTTCCGTTGAATTGTGGATGGGGATTCTAGAGATTGAGTATAGCCCCATTTTCAATGGAGAAAATTAAGGTAAGTGATAGCACAGAGTTTCATGTAATTAATGAAGTCAGGAATAGAGGCAGTATTTATGTAGTTATTTATTTAATAATAACATACATATAAAACAAATAAAACAGTACAAAGAGTTGTACTGTGAAAGGTAAGTTTTCTCCCTATCATTTCTCAGTTCTCTCATTCCCCTCCCTAGAGGCAAGGACTTACCAGTTTCTTGTTCTTTTACGAGCTCTTTCCTGTACAAACAGCTATATTTGCATACACATTTCTACACTTTGTTACTCCACTTGTTAATGTCTGAAAATTGTAGAACCCAGATATTTTTATTTCTTGGTCCATGAACTTTTCCATGTATATGCTTGGGACACTATCATTTAGACAGCTGACTTTTGTTGATATTAATGGACAAAGTATTAAATTATTCTTTGTTTCTGGCACATCATATTGAATAGCTCATGTGCAACACAATACAGTATTTCACACTTCTTCAGAGAGATCATTCTGGCTGATTTATGATAAATGTTGACATTAAAAAATAGGTATATAAATATTACTGCTAGTTACTAGAAATAGCTGACAGGGATATTTTTTCTCTTGAGAATGAAATGGAAAGTTTTCAGGGAAATAAATAATTTACCTTTAGACTTGTATAAAAACTTGTATGTGTACAAAACAGTTCATTATTTCAGTGACAGTGAAAGGCAGTGATGTTTACTTTCTAAATTTTAAAAATCTACCAACATTTCATGCAGATCACAGAAATAGTTTTTCATTTGTTTGTTGAAACAGTTTGTTTCTTTTAATCTTGATGTGACTCATAATTTATAAAAATGTATCCTTAATTTTGATCATTCTGATTATCTTGGCTAATTTATCAATTCAGTTATTGCTTTGTTTTGCAGAGATTGTTGTTGCCTCTGACAATTGCTTGATATTAGATTTTTTTTTGGACAAAACTGTGCCACAAAAGACACATCCAGTAAAAAAAAATGTGTCCCATTTGAACTCTCCATGATAAGATTCATAGAGGTTAAGTATTTATTGATATATTTCAATTTTACTTTAGTCAGTAATCCTGCTTTCTCCCTAAAGATGGCAGTACTTCTCAATATATTATTTACTGAGTCCTTCTGTCTAAAAAGAATATTAATTATAACTACTATCAATTGGAAAAAACTAATCAAAGTATTATTTCATAATACCATCATAATAGTTAAAATTTAGTAATAGAAAAAGTAATATTGTATTCTTGAATTTCTTAGCACTAGTGCAGCTTTTGTGTGTTTTATTTTCATCTCTGGTCATAGAATTTCTAATGGTTCTTAGTGCATTTTGACTTTGTAATTTGTGGTATAAGATAATGAACTAAAAGTCTTACCAAGAATTGTGATATCATGTTAGGATCTTGCTGAGTTTATGGCTGTCTCCTATGGAAATGTTAAAAAACAAAAATTGACAAAGTACCTGAAACAAACAAAACCCCTAAATAACTGCTTATCATGTATATTTGTGGAAATGTGACATTTTTGATTCTTTGGTAAAAGTTTTTATATGGTCAAGATCTACTTGAACTTTTTACTTAGGTGACTGATTTTTTTTTTTTTTGAACAAGTGAAGTAAATATTAGTGCCATTAAATAACCCCCTAATCTACCTCCTCCTCTGCTGTAAAACTAAGCTCTAAAATCACAGTGTGCTGCTGTGGGGCTTGGAGAAACAACACGATGTTTTGTTCCTCCACTTTCCATTTATAATTAAGTGGTTCTGGCGCGTTTGTGTGCATGTGTGTGTTGCCGGGGGGGTGGGAGGGGGCGGCGGCAAGGGGCCAGGGAGAGAAATCACATGGCATTGTAGTTTGAGGATGGTCAAGAGCAAGACAGAGCAGGCTAGACTCACCGCCAGGCTCCACAGATAGCTTTCACATAGCTTCTGCTTTCTAAGCTGGCCCTGATCTGACGTTCATCAGGGTAACTCACGTGCTAGAGGACTCAGAACTCTAACCAGGTTCTTAGACACTAGTGTATATAAATACTACAACACTAGTTCTTTAATTTGCATTGAGAAGTATTGGGCACATTGACTTCTCATGTTTATGTGTGTTCTCCCAGTAGGCAAATCTAAATGAAAAAAATATATATATAATCAGAAGGTTACTTGATATGCATTGAATCATCTCTCAGTGATCAATATCAGCATTCTCTGATGATGTGATAAATTCATATTTCCCATTCAGATCAGACAGTCCTCAATTTTCAGAGCATCCTTTCTACAACCCAGGCTGTAGACACACAGCCTACTTTGGCTTTCTTATTACAGAGGTCCTATAGACTTATCTCCAGTAGCACATTTTTTCCCACTTAGAGTTTAATGAAATGGTGCTGATGTATGTAAAATACATAGGATACCTGGCATACACTAAATAAGTCATTAATAACTGTAATTGGCATGAGTTCAGGTCACCTTGATACTTAGAATGTCAGACACTGGACAGAGACATTGAGATGACTGATAGAGCTTGTCTACATTTTGAGTTATTTCTTTCAGTTCTTTAATTCTTTGGTTTCATTTATCCTTAGTGTTGACTCCATCATGCTGCATGATTTTGCTACTTTTTTTTTGACATTTTGAATCTTTTAAAATTTCAGTTTCTTGCTCCATAATACCTGATCCCTTGTCATTCCCCATCTGTAATATAAATTTATTGGAAGAGATGATCTTCAAGTTACTGCTGTGCTCTAGAATGTGTATATATATAATTTTATATTTTATTTGAAATTTGTCAGATTTAGCTCTTTTCATATAATCCTACTTACCTTTATTTGAAGCTATGAATAAATTCTAGCTCATAGAGTGTAAGGTGGCTGTGGAATTGGTAGGCAATGATTGAAAAATCCAGGGTGGAGCTATGATGGTGGTGAATTCGGCAGTCAGTAATGACATTACTGACCTGACAAATATGCAGTTCACAAATCAGAACTCTGTGTGTGAAAATGAGTAAAGAAAAGAATGATTGAAATGAGTCAGATGGTTACTCCAGCAACAATAAACACTTCCCTTTCCATCTATCTGGGAATGAGTTACTTTTTAAAGAGTGGTGAAATAGTTTTGGGAAAACTGGAGAAATTGCCCCAGCACAGCTCTTTATAGTGCATTTTTGAGACTGTTGGTCTCGAAACCACACTTTCACACTTTCAAAACAGTCATAGATAGTAGACATTGTGGGAGTTCAGAAAATGGAGAGATCATTTCAGACTGAAGTAATTAGGGCAGAATGGCTGGCTGTGAGCTTTGGGGGATGGTGTGGATGGGTGCGTTTGCAAAGGTGAGAGAAGGAGGAAACATTATGGGTGAAATCCCAAGAATAAAAGTATAGATGTGGAAAATAATAGTGTATGTTAGGGAGGAGTAGAGTCAAGTAGTTTGATGCATAGGTTCTAAAATGTGCTCTTTGAAAAGAGAATTGGGGCAGTGCTTCTGTCAAATGATAACCATGTCAGATTTGGAAAATATGGCACTATGCCATTTCTCTTCAGTATGCAACTGGATGATATTTAGTGATGCCTCTCACTGTGTCAACCTTCACATTTTCATGTACTGTCTGATGTCATCAAATTACATTTTAGAGTACTTTTTGGAAACTGGAAAGATTGTCAATATCTTAATAATATTCAAGTGTTAGCATCTGAGGCAGATGTGCACCTGTGATGTCAGGCACACATAATGGTTGTCCAGCTTTGAGAAGGAGAGAATAGCCACATGTCACTGTGCATCATCACTTTCCATATCAGCAGCTGTCACCACGTTTCTAAGAGGTGTTGCCAAGAAATAGGAATAGAACATGATGTTTTTCTCTATTAGATGGAAATTTACTGCATTTCTAGAGGTCTTAATTGAACTTGAAGGCAAAGGAAGTAATGTGACTTGGTCTTAACTTTAAAGTCTTGGAGAAATTTAGTGTTCAGTACACAAACTACCTTAACCTGACAAAGCACTATGGGAACTTCTGCTTTGTTTCTATGACTTTGTGAGTCAAGAATTGCAGAACTTGTTGCCATGGAGAAAAATTGATTATCAAGGATGATGTATATGTAAGGATGTCAAAGACCACATAATTCCAACTTAGTAAACCAAGTCTTGCGATTTACTACTGAGCAGTTAGAATATTCTTAACTTTTTTTCAGGAAGTCACCATTTTCCTGTCATGAAAAACAACAGTACAAGGGAGGTATAGTCTTTGTAAATATTGGTTTTGTATACTATGTTGGGAAGTCAGTTCTAGTGCAACACAGTGTATCTGTATTTTTGTGTGTGTTTCTAGAGTACATATCTTTAAACAGAATCTCAGACTGAACTTTGACTCCCATGAAAGTTTAAGAACTAATAATTTAGCTACTGTGGAAATAATGGATGCTCTGGATGAATTTGAGCAAAGGAATGACAGAAATTAGAAAGTTTATCTAAAGAATATGAGAAGAAAAACTTTAGCAGGACTGCAGGGTTAACCCCAGGGCCTGAACTATTGTAATAATGGGGTGGTAATTTTCTAGATAGAGCTTAGAGATAGGAATCTCATGCTATCTTTTTTGTTCTTAGGATCTGAGTACATAGTACCTGAGATATAATAGGCTAAAGATGTGGAATCAAATTGAAATCACTGGATCACGAATGTTGGACAATAGAACCAAATACCAAAACCAAAAAAACCCCACCTCTTTTCTCTTACCTGTTTTTAATCCTGATGGTTAACACACTCTTGTGATTTCTTAGGATTTGTTCTCTTTGAACATTTTATTTCTAGTAATTTTTACTAAAGCTATGCCTCCAAATATGATTTTACTCAGTACCGTCAAAGGGTAGGAAACTTGCAAGATGGTGTGATCATTGTCTGCTTAAACAACATTCCAATGAACATGTAACCTTAATGTGCTAATCATTAAGTAAAATCAGCTTGGCAATTTTGGCTTAAAATGTCATTGGAACCCATGTTATAGTAAATCTTCTATCAATTTAATAACAAAGCCCTGGAGCCCCTACCTATATTATATAAGTATTATTTTATTGTTGCCTTTATATAGTTTCCTGAAATGAGGTTTAGCAAAATAGACTTCCTAGGTATTAGTTGCTAAACATTCAGATTTGTTGGTTGGGAGACCCAGAGGTTAAGTTTAGAGTCTAGCTCATTATATTGTTTTTAGTTTTGTTCCCTCTAAATTCTTTCAAGTTGAAGAGAATATTATTGAATACATTGTTAAAACATTGGTATTATCTAAAACATTTGTTGCAAAGTGTGGAGTTTTTTTTTTTGGTCTGTAGCAAATTTTGTGTTCTTGGGTGTGGGATTACAAATCTGTGCTTGTTAGAAGCCCAGAAAGCTTCTAACAAATGACTAATAGAGTAAAATAAGGTATAACTTCACAAAAGACAGTGGTTTTGATGAATTCTGTAATGTTTAAGGGATAAATAGACTGTAGCATTCAAACCTTTGAGGAGGATAAATTCTGTGTCCCATTCATTCATTCTTAAATTCTTTTGATGCCTACCACTTTGTTACACAATATAAAATCCTTTTCATAAATTAGGATTGGGGGAAAGATTGGATACATAAGAATGCAGTAAAATTCTTTTTATTAAGTTGATTTGAGATAAAAATTCATTAAGTTTGTTAAGATAAAAATAAAATATCGTATTGTATATAATTTGGGAGACAAAGATCACTAGTGGCCTCACCCACCTGAATATAACCCCACACACACTACAAATGGGAATGAAACTGATATTTTTCATTACACCTGGTATAAATACTTTTCCATATTATTTCCCAGGATACTTTAATGGCAGGTTAGTATTCAAATAGAGAAAAAGACTGTAATTTAACCAAAACCTCATTGTTGGATATAGGATAGGCTATTTCCAGTTTAAAACATTTTTTCTTTCATTTTCTTTGCCTGATTTTCTACACTAGATACCGCACGGAACAACTGTGTGTGCAGACTTTGTATGTATTCATAGTTTTTCCTCGGTGGAAACTGTGCAACTGAAATATCCGGGTTAAAGCGTATTCAAAAGGTTAAGGATTTTGGCACATTCTCCTAAGTCGCTTTTTGGAAGCCGGTGGTCTGAGACGGCCGCTGCCCGCTCGCCGCAGGGTCGGCCCGCGCGCCCGAGCGCGGCCACCTGTTGGCGGGAGCGGCCGCGGCGAGCGTGGTGGGTGCGCGGCTCTCGGCCCGGCGGGGGCGCCGGCGCGTTGCCCCGTTTCTAACCGGCGTGTCTTTGTCTTTCCTCCCTGGGGACCGCTGCCGCCCGCGCCGGCCGAAGCCTCGGGAAGCCGTCGCCCCGCAGCGCCGCCGCCCTGCGCCCGGCCGCCCCGGGGAGCCGCTGCCCGCCCGCGGGCGCCGTCACCACGCGCCAGGCCGCCGCCAGCTGCCGCGCCAAGCTCCGCGGCGGGGCCGCCCGGGAGCGCCAGCACGCCGGCCGGGGCCTGGGGAAGCCCGCGCCCCCGTGAGCGCCGCCGCCGGCGACCGCGGGACCCCGAGCACCTCAGGCGCCCGCCGCGCCCGCCGCCCGCCTCTCCAGACCCTCCCGGCGCGTCGGGATCCGCGCGTCGCGGCCCGCCCGGCGTCCTCGGCCGCTCGCGGACCCTCCGCCCTCGCGCAGCCGCGCCGGCCCGGCCCGCGGCCCTTCCCCGCCAGCCCCCGGGAGGGCCGTGCGCCTGCGGGCCGGCGGCGGGGGGACGGCCTCCGCGCCGGGCCTGGCTGCCCGCGGAGCGCTGCGTCCTCGCCCGCCCGGCCGCGGCCCGGCGGCCTCGAGAGTCTCGCCCCTGGACAGCGTCTCCCTCTTGCCCTCCTCGTCGATTCCCCAGGTCGCTCTTTCATGATTAGCTCTTCAGAGCCTAGCTCCCGCTTTTCTAGTTTTGGGTTTTTTTTTTTAACCACAGATCTTATCTAGGGTATAGTTGTCCACCCCATTCCCCCCCACCCCCCCTTCCCCACTTCCTGCTGCCATCTGCCTGAAGATTGTTTCAATAATTGTGCAAATCCTCCATGACTGGGTGATTGACAGCACCTGGAGTTATGTCATGCACAACTGTGGTTGAACTTGAACTCCAGCGTCCTGTCCTGTCCTTGTATCTCTCGCTAGTGGCCATTTCTTCCCTTCAGTCAGTCCTTGCTCCCAGCTTCTGGTCTGCATTCCAGGGGGATCCACTGCTGGGTTTGCAAGGAGGCTATTTTTCTACCTAGCTGCTCCCAGGCCTGAGCGCAGTGGGTGTATTACTAGAGGCCGCCTCGTGGGAGACCTGACTCCTCTAATGAGTGACTGGCTTGAGGACTAGGCCACCGGGCTGCAACTTTCTTCCAACTGTACTGCATGCAGTTTAAGGCTCTTCTTACCCACTGTCCCTCTCCTTTTAGAGGGGTCATACTTGCATAATGGTATGACAGCCTGCCCCTCCCTGCTTCCGAACCCTTCCATTATCTTCTACAGATGTCCCTCAGTAAAACTTGTATAAGTTGAATCCTGTCTTGGTGTCTGCTTCTAGGAAGAATCGAATTAACACATTATCAGACATTCCACTCTGAGGACCATTTTCCTATCTTTCTGGGCCTTTCTTCACTGCCTGTTAATTCATAAACCTCATTGTCTCCACTATTAGCTGGTCTTGGATTCACTTCCTTCCTTGTCTGGTCTTGACCCCATGGGCCATCATTATAATCATTCTTCCTGAAATACAGTGTACCCAGCAGTCTTAAACCTTCGTTTCTCCCAATGATATTCCTGTCAAAATCCCAACTCTGGATGAACCTTCCATCTGCCTTCCATGGGACTAATTGGACAATTGAATATTTTCTTTCAGAAAATCACACAACTCAGCCAACTAGTTTTACCAGTAAATTGGTGCTACTCTTCCTACTTGTCTCAATTTCCTACTTCTAAAACTACTATTTTTATACCTTTTCATTCCCCCTCAAAATTTTCTGATTGCATCCTTTTTATTTCACATTTCCATGAGAAAATAGAAGATAGTAAATATATTCCTCATTTTCTCTCCAGGAGACCCTCAAACCTTGGTGACCATTTTCATCCTATTAGTGACTTTGGAGGAAGTTTCAAAGGCCAGTCCCTCCTCTTGTGCTGTGAATCCCATCTCCTCTTGGAAGTACTCTGTGTTTTCCCCTTCTGCATCATCTACATCTGTCTGGAATGGATCCTTTTTATTAGTTGGCAAACGTTCTCCAGTGTCCCCATCTTTACTAAACCTTCCCCTCTGCACATCCCCACCTACTGGCCATAACTCAGCTTCACAGTCTTTTTTTATGGAGTGAAGCTAATATATTGTCCTCATTTTCTATCTATCTGCCTTTCAATCTGCAACATGACTTCCCCACCACCACCTCTTGAAAGTGTTCTTGTCAAGGTCACCAGTCACTTCCATATCACCCTGTCCAAAAGGGTACATTCCTGTGCTCAACTTGACCACGCTCTGCTTCTTTAAATGTTCCCTCTTCATATCCAAGGCATTATTCTCTGGTTTTCCCTGTCTCCCCTCGGTGCCCCGCCCCCAGTGTTTTGATCCACCTCCTTTTGCCAACTTTGAAAGGTTGAGATTCCTCCCCTCCATTCTAGTCCCTCTTTTCTATGATCTCTCCCAGGACAATCTTAGCAATTGCCCTGGATTTAAGGACCCTCTTTATGCTAATACACATGTATTTGCTTTTCTCTTTCTTTCTTTGGATGCCTCTAATCTGTCAAACTTGTCCAAATTCTGATTCCTCATTCTCATGCCAAACTTGTTTCCCTATCTTCCTTATTTGCAGTAAATGGTAACACCATCCAACCAATTAGTCAACCTATTTCATCATGGTGTTTTTTCCTCTTTCAGTGTAATAATACTGCATTTGGCTCTGATTTCTGATCTATTCTTGATTCTTGTGACCTTTCCTCTATATCAAATAGACCTGTACAATCTATCAATTTTATCCCCCCAATATATCTTTAATCTGTTTGCTACTTTCTACTTCCTTTATGTTGACCATATTATTTCCTACCTGGTCTCTCTGTTCCCATTCTTGACCAATACATTCTTGATGGAGTGACAACAATGACCTTGCTCATAAATTCAATCAAGTACATTGTTGCTCTGAGTGTAAATCTAAATTCCTTACATGGCTCACAGAGACCTGCACAGTCTGACTAATCTCTGGATCCACCCCCATTTATGTTTCTCTTGTTACTGTCCATTGTGATGCAGCCACAAGCCAATATGCCAAGATCTCTTCTGCACCTCCGGGACTTGGTAAATTTGTACTTAAGCTGCTCATCTCGGCTACCCTCTCCCCCACCATAATTGTATTTTTTAGATTATTGCTTAAGTACAGCATCTTGAGAAAGGCCTTCCCAGAACATCTGATTGAAAGGAGTTTCACCTCTTGCCTCCTGTTCACGTTCGTACTTCTTTGTTTTCTTCATTATTCCAATCCCTGTCTCAACTTGTAACTTTGTTTATTTACTGTTTGTGTGTTTCTTTTTCCCATGCTGGAATCAACCAGGGAAGAGACTGTATCTGGATGTTCAGATTCTTGAGCATTGTATTTCCAACTCCTAGCACAACACATGGCACATATTTGCAGAGTAAATATCTGTTGTAGGAATGGATGAACACATTTGCTAATTTTTCTGTTAGATATTCACTTTTTATTTTAAAACCAGTAACCATTTGTTTATTCCATATGTTGCAGGTACTTTTCCATTTGTCATATATATACCAATTTAAATTCATAAAGTCTGATATACAAAAATACTACATTTTTCATTTAGATAAATCTTTTTCCTTTATGATTTCTGCCTTTGGTGATATGTTTTAAAAGTTGTTTCCATATCAATGTTATATAAATATTTTTCTATGTTTAATTTTTTTTTAGATTTGAATCTTTACTTCAAATGGAATTGAATGGAATTTATTTTTGATATAGATGTGATTAAGGGTCTAAATATTTATTTAGTTGTTGTATCATCACTGATTGAAAATTTCCTCTCCCACCATTTTGAAAATCCTGCCTTTGTCAAATATTAAATTCTTACACATACTTGGAGTGATTTTGGATTTATTATTTGTTTGTTTCATTTTAGGTATCCTTTATTTCTGAACCATGCTGTTTTAATTATTGTCATTTTATAATTTGTTTTAATATGTGATAACTTAATGGAGTAAATGTCACTCTTCTTTTTCAAAATATTTTTTAGTTATATTGGTGTGTTTATTCTTCCAGATAAACTTTAGTTTTATATTGGTCAAGTTCCAAAATAAATTTCATTGGCACTTTCTCTAGAATCACTATAATAGATTAATTGGGGAATAACTGTCATATTTGTAATATTAAGTTTCCCATCCAGGAACTTGTAACATATTAATGTTATTGAAAATTTGCTATATATTTCTCAGTAATTTTGTAGGTCCTGCATATTTCTTATTAATTGTATTATTTGATAGTTCATCTCTTTTTTGGGATCATTTTCTCCTGTCTTATGACTGATTCCTCCTTGTGGGGGGGGGGTCAAGCAATTGATTTTTGTGTTTGGTAACTTTTCTGAATTCTCCATTAATCCTCCTAGTTGGTTCTCTTTTAAATAGACAATCATTTTAAGTGTAATAAATGATAATTTTATCTCTTTCTTCACAATCTTTATACCTCATATGTTAAATAAATGAGAGTATTAATTTGCTCTTATTCCTTTTGAAGGAATGCAATTAATATTTCACCAACTTTTAAATGTTAGCTGTACGATTGAAATATAGCTCTTTACCAGTTTAAGAAAATGGTTTCCTTGTTCAATTATCCTAAGCATTTTATTGGAGATTGCTGTTGAATAATATTAAACATATTCAGGACAACTACAGATGATCATATAGTTTTACTCCCTTGACCCATTATAATACATTATATTAGTATTAGTAGGTTTCTCAATATTGGATTATTTCTGCATGAGATGCAACCTATTTCATCATGGTGTTTTTTCCTCTTTCAATGTAATAATATTGCATTTGGCTCCTTAAATTGTATTTAAGAGAGCTGAATTTATACTTGTGAGTAAGATCGATTTGTAGTTTTACATTTTTGATTTTATTTTTACCAACTTCAGAAAACCTTGTTCTGTGCTGTAGATTAGTATATATTATAGGAATTGCCTATTCTTTGAAAGTTTGAAAAAACTCACCCATAAAATTATTTAGGCACTAACTTTTTCTTCTGTATAGGTGAGTAAAGATATTTTTCTGGAAACATTAAAATTTTCCTCTATGACTTTGGCCTAGACAGGCTAATTACTATTTCCTGAGTATCAATTTTTAGAATAACATTTTTAAAGAAAACCTTACATTTTCATAGAAATTTAAAATTTGTTAGCTGGCCTCTACATAGTCTTTACATTCATAGGTATAACTTCTTTTTCATTTCTAATCTTTCTAGTTATGTATTTCTTTCCTTATTAGATTTGTCAATCTTTTAAAGAACGAACATTTATTATTTTACAAATTATATTTTTCTATTTCTATAGTCTATTAATATAACTTTTAATCCTTATTAATTCTTTATTCTTAAGTTTATTTTGTTGTCTTCTAAATGTTTCTTTGTAATTGGTGATTTAGTTCATTTATTTTTATTTCTTTTTTAATAATAGGACACATAAGGCTATAAATTTACCTCTGAGAACAGCTTTGACTGCATCTAAAAGGTTTTGGTATGTAGTCTCTTAATTGTTGCTATTTAAAAATAATTTTAATTACTGTTTTTATTTAGTTTTTGACTGGCATTATTTAGGAAAGTGTTGGAGGTTTTTGTTATTGTTAATCCTGACTTTTAATAAATAATAAATTTATTAATATTTATGTTGCTATTTTAATAAAGAGCTAATTTGTTTTTGAAAAAATGAAATTTCGTAAGAAGTGGTCTTATCTGAAGTTATATGTAAACATTTCCTAGAGTTACAAGATCCTACCAATAGTGTCAACTAATGGTGATTGTACTAACTACCAACAATAGGGATTTGGTATACACTAATACCAGTAATTTACTGGAACTTCTGATTTCTATATAATGTCCTACTTATGCATGTAAATGGCAAGAAAGATTTTTAAAAAATGTTTATTGTGCCAAAAATTTTCAGGTAATATGGAACTTCAATGATCATCTGACAATTCGAAAACCTCATTATCAAAGTTAATGAAATCAGAAAGGATTTGAGAATTGTGAACATGGACTTGTCACAATATTTTGGCACTAGAACAGTTTTTCTTTTAAATTTGGAAGTAGTTTTAAAATATTTATTTTTATAATAACAATTGTAATTCATGTACATAAATAAAATAAAAATTACCTGTAACTTTATCACTCAGAAGAAAAAGCATTGTTAACATTTTGTTGTATTTCCTTTTACAATTGTTTCTGTACATCTCTCTTTCCTTTTTGATAGAATTTGGCTCATATTCTTTTGCATCCTGGTTTTGTTTTTTCTTCTCATTTATTTGTGAGTATTTCCTTATGACATAAGAAAATAGAATTGGTTGGAAATTAATTTATTTCAGTATTTGTAGAGCTAGTATTGGGCTATTTCTGTTGTGGTTTCTAATGCTCAGACTGCTTGTTTTCCAAGCCTCGTCCTTGAAGGCTCTCGTGATAATTTTCCATTTAATACCTTTGTTCCTCTTTAGTTATATGTAGTTTCTGTCACTTGCACTCAAGAATTCTGACAAATACAATGTTTTTTAAAATTTTTTAATAATAGCATTTTTTTGATTACTTGTACTAAGACATATGTTATGCATGTGTGTGCAGGCTACACCTGTTTATCCCCCCCAACCTCCAGTCATGCATGTTTGATAAATATCACCTACTTTTTTGGCCTATTTGAAAGTTCACAGACAACATTTTATATTAAAGACTCTGAGAAGGTTTACGTTAAAAAAAAGTTTGCTTTAAAATATGTCTTTCAAATATATCATTATAGGGTATTTTTTTTTTTTTTGTAGTTAAACCCTGTTAATTTACTTTATAAGACATCAGGAAACACTGATTTTGTTTATTAGCTTAACTACATCCTGATGATCCTTTCACTTGGCTTCCATACATCAGTATGACTTGAATTAGTATTGATAGTATAATTCTCAACTGATTTAGCATTTGGCATAGGTGTATTTCCTCATGCCTTTTAGTGTTGTGTAACGAGAAATTATATTCAGTAAAGTCTAAGGAGCTGATCTTAGGTTTTATGTTAGCTTGAGGCTAGAGAGGCCCCTGCTTTGGATCTCATGCTTTGTGGGGCCCTGCTCTGGCCATCTTTCAGTTACTCTTGCTCTGCCAGGGTGAAGTTTCTGTGCAGCAAATGGAATATGTCCACCTAGATCCTGAATCCTGTTTAGATTTCATTCTGGGTGCCTGGGTCCCAGTAGTCTTAATGCAAACAGCTTTGCTTTCTGGGGTTTCTTTAGGTCCATCTTATTGTGCCATTGGTTGAGTATATTCCTAAGTCCAGTGGTTCACCAATGGATGGCTATTTGCAAGGGTATGGACACAACTTGGTTTGCAGGCTGGAGAGTCCACGCGGGTACACTTGAAGCCCTTCACAATATGTGATGCAGTTGGGGCTATGAGATAGGGACATGTTATCACTAGGCCAAGATATTCTAGCCTGGAACACAGAGGAATTCAAGAATTCTTCATTTGAGTGTGGCCTACTAGGAAATTAAGAAGGTATATTTGTCAGCATAGAACAATAGATCATTGGCTTGGTTTGTAACATTGAAAATATTTGCACTGTACATAGGTCTCCATTTTATTCTTGCCTTGGTCCCTGCCTATAGGGTGATAGAATCCTGGGTGCCATGACATTCTTACTGATGAAATCCTAAACTTGACACCAAGCACCAGACCCTTCTATATTTAAATGAACCACTAAGTGGACAACAAGTACCTCAACAGTGATCATGGAACAGAATGGTTTGAAGATCAGAGGCCCTTACTCCAAGTCCTAGGGACTCCAAATGCCTCTAGAATTTTGTATTCTAATAGACTTGCTAAAATAGGACTTTTTATTTTTTTGCCACACTGGTGAGCCAGAAGTTCAGAATCAGATTTAATTTTACTTAGAAAATTAAAGTAATAGCACATCTCTTATACCTGAGTACGGTGGCATGTGAGTCTCACTAAGTTGTAACACAAGCAAAAAGA